TTCCTCCCCCTTTTTTAAAGAGTTCTATCCAGAGAAATTATGCTATCCCACTACAGAGAAATTCCAGTATAAACTGATGGTAGATATTGGGGAACCCTCAAGAGCCTGGAAATGAGATAGTACTTTTAGAAAGGAAGATATGTGGCCTGCAAAGGACTGGACTCCAGCTCACAGCACCCACAGAGTGCAGCTAACAACAGCTAGTGCCGGGCCTCCTCCAGCTTCTGTGGGCATCCAAGTGCATGTACACTTGATACCATTTTTTTAAAGCTAGTAGAATTGGAAGAAGTAGCAAATTTAATTACCAGAAAATCCATCATGCTTGAAAGTCAGGTAAATCGAGAATATCTTTAATCTATTCCTCCGGCAATTCTTAGATCATGCTTATACTAAAATCTGAGCTATTTATTTGAAATCAAATGTAACTGGATGTCCTTTATTTTATCTGGCATCTTTTTAGGGTGACGTAGAAACACCTGCTTATGAAGAGTTGAAGGCTTACATGTGTGGTACAATGATCTTTGTCACTGTACTTAGGATATTTTGGGTATACCATTAGAAATTTGCCATTGGAATTTACAGAAACTCAGCAAGTTAAATTTCAGTTTCCCTCTTCAAAAATACAGTCAAGAAGAGGACAACTTATGTAAATCTTTTAACCAAAAGACCTATCATGATAAAGACTTCTTCCTTTAACAAATGTTGGCCACTCTTGCATATGAATTCGCATTGTTTAAAGTAAACTTAAACAGACTCCTGGTCATGCGTATGATTTGGAAATAGTCATTGGCACCTGAACTTGAACTCTACCCTCCTTCCTGGATGTTACTGGACTGTAGGATCTGTCACAGTTCATTCTTGGGGAATTTACTCATAAGAGAGACTTTTTTGTTGTTGTTGTTGTTGGGTTTTTGTTGTTGTTTTTTGAAGATTTATTTATTTATTATATATACAGTGTTCTTCTTGCACCCAGAAGAGAGCACCAGATCTTATTATAGGTAGTTATGAGCCACCATGTGGTTACTGGGAATTGAACTCAAGAACCCTGGAAAAACAGTCAGTGGTGTTAACCTTTGAGCCATCTCTCCAGTCCCAGAGAGGCTTCTTATGCTCTGAAGTTCAGAATGTAGGATCAATTACTTTAGGAAGGTTTTTTTTTTTTTTTTTTTGAGTGTGCTATACTGTCAGAGCATGGGTACCTGTGTACCATGACCCTAAAGTGAGATCAGACCGCTACCTTGGGTTTTCATCCTCATCAGTTGAGATGAGCCTTTGGTCACTGCAGCGGACACCAGGCCAGCTGACCCCCGGGCTACTGCAGACTCCACCTTCCACCTCGCTGGAGCAGTGATGGTATTACAGTCACATGCTATCACATCTGCCTCACGTGGGCTTGGGACACACAGACTCGGGACCTCAATCTTGAATTGTTTCCCCAGCCCATACGAACGATATTTGATTGATTTTGAATTATTGGCTGGTGTCCTTAGAAAAATAAAGTTGTAAACGCCTTTGCCTCTCCTAGTTCCAGACGACTAAGCCAGAAGTTCTCAATCTGGCAACATGGAGGAAAAGCAAAAAGATTATTTAAAAATGTTTCTCAGTCTGTCTTAAATCTCAGTTTCTGACTGAGTGGACGTTTGAAATAGGATGTGGAAATCCCTACTGTACTATTCCATGGAGTAACCAGGGCAGGGAACCACAGGGCTGAAAGCATTTTGCAGTGAAAAGAGAATGAACAGCCTTCTTTTGTCCATCTTCCATTCTCTTTTCATCTTTACTGAGTGAATGAACAAGTCCTCTGCAAAAACAAATACAGTCAGCTGTCTGCATCCTTGCATTCCACATCCACAAATTCAACTAGCCAAGAGTCGATGATACTAAAAACAGCATCAGGCATCTGTACTAAACACACGTAGAGTTCCTGTCATTATTCCTCGCCCAATTCCGTATAACAACTGTTTGCACATCATTTGAATTGTATGAAATATAATAAATAATCTAGAGGTGATTTAAGCTGTGCAGAAGGATCGAGTGGGTTACATGTACATGCTACACCATTTTGTAAAAAGTTTGAGCATGCGTGGACTCAATCTCTTCAAGGTATTGAGGGACAACTGCACAAGCCAGCATTTATGCAATTATTTCTACTATCTGTGAATAAATTACCATGAACTTTATACAAGTAGAAAACTTTAGGAAGAGCTGCCTTAAATGTTCAATACAGACAGGACCTAGGAATGGGCATTGACCCGACTGAATTTTGCCCCTGCGTTGCCAGAAAACAAGGTCAACCCAGAACAGAAAATGGTCCCTAAAGGAGCAGCCAACCTCTGATGTCATATTATTTTGTTCTTGGATTTACGAGTGTCTCCTTGTAAACTGGGTTTTTGCTGGAGAATAGCTTGTCTTTATATAACCTTATTTTTCAACAAAGAAAAATTCATTACATTTTAAAGTAATTTGTTTCTTTAAAATCGACTTAAATCTTAAATGAAAAAATAAGCTTTTTAAAAAAAATCATATTCATTTTTACTTTGGTGTTTGGAAAATACAACTATGTCTATTGTCTGTAGAATAGGTGTCTAGTCTATAGGACTCTCATAAGCCTGGGAAAGGGAATAACCCTCCATTTTCATAATTTGCATGTGGAAAGCAAGAAATTCCCAGACTCTAGAATATTTATTATTTCTTTCCTTCCTTGTGGAAGGTGATGTGCTAGTTATGAAGTCCCTTCAATAATTTTCCTTTGAAAACTTCCTGCGCTATCAATAGAACAGAGGAATATTAATTTCTTTTTGGCCCAAAGTTGTTCTAGCCAGAGCTCCCAGGGAGTGATGTCACCTCTGCAGTCAGCTTGAGCCCACCTGCCACTAATCCTCCCTGCATCCTTCCCCTCTCTCACTTCCTCTGTCCTGGCTTTGGCCCCACTGAACTGCTCTGGGAGCAGGCTAGTAGTCAGAGCACTGGCTCACCGGGAGAAACTGCAGAAGGCTCAGATGGTGCCTGCTTGCATAATTCTCTTAACTGCGCCCTTGTATGGAATTGTGAAACGCTTCCAGCATCTCCGACAGAAGACACTATGTAAACATGAGGTACTTCTCTTTGTGTTTATTGTTAACAATTAGGAATACTGAGCACATAGAGCAACGCTTTGGTAGTGTCTTTGGATTTGAGACTGGTGTCGCCCAGCAGTGGTTTTCTTCCTATATTACCCAATATCTTAATATAGCATTACTGTTTCCTATCAGAATAGCTTTACATTGTAGGTCTTTCCCCTTTGATATTTAATGATAAGGTGTAGTCTTTGATTTTTTTTTTTAACTTTCTTAACTTTCTGAGTAGAACCAACCTGATGACACGGTATTTAGAAATAGAACTCTTTGGATACACTTCTGCTGTGTGAATCAGATTGGCTTTGATTCACTGGAAATAAATAACACTTTCTTAGCTAGAAATCAGCAAGCGTTGTGTGTTGCTGTTTCTATTAAGGGACAGATATTGGTTCTGAAACCAGTGAGTGGACCTTGCAGGTACTGGTGCATTATACTCTTTGTACACAGCTTCTCTCTTACCTGTGCCCGGGCTTTCTCCTAGCCACGCAGCGGGCCAGTGGGCCAATGGAGCCTGGAGGCATTGTCTTGTCGTTTGTTAACGTGGTTGTGGAATTATCCTAAATTGATAAATGGGGTAGGGTTTTCAAGTTTATGACCTCCTGGTTCAATTATTTCGAGAAGAATAAAACGATTTCGTAAAATACCTTTGAAAACTTAAAATCACCTCAAAAAAAGTGGAGACTCACCTGAATCCAGATGGATGTTAATGTTAGCCTGCTTTAGGTTTGAACCATAACATCTTTCTCAAGAGTCTAGGTATGTGTCTATGGAGGAAATCGTGGCCATTTTTATAAAAAAAATTACAGAATGGCCATTGTCACAGAACTACTTCAAATCATCATCTTTGTAAACGATGTTATATCTTACTGATGAGGGTTAAATCACAGGGGATTTGTTTACACTGAAAGTCACACATGAGAGAATCTTGCCCAAGCTTCCCTTCAAATAGTGTTCAGTTCAAGAGGGCCTCATCGGGCCACACCACCGCTGCATATAGTATCTGCCAGTTAGATCACAGAGTCACTTTGGCATGTGTGACACAGGGATTTAACTGTCTCTTCCTCCTTTTCTCTGCTGGCTCTTGGGCTCTCTCCTTCATTTCACAATCTATGCCTTCATTGTTTTTTTTTTTTTTTTTTTTTTTTTTTTTTTTTTTTTTTTTTTTTTTTTTTTTTTGGTGTGTGTGTGGGGGGGATCACTGTAAGGACACCTGTGTCTGCAGGGTCAGGGTCTCAGCCTTGTGTCCAATCTGCCTGATTTCCCTCCATCTCTGCTTGAGTCAATGTGGCAATCGTTTCTCCTCTCTCGGTGTCTTCATTAGAACTTTTCTCTGGATGTCCTCGTTTTATCTCTGAGCTCTCCCCATTGCTAGAACCCTTTCATATGAGGAGGCTGCCAGGAGTGTGTCTAAAGCACTTCCGACCTGAGAACAGGCTGCAGTAGTTTCCCGAAGCCGGCTAGCAAATGCTCTAGCAGTTCAGACCATGACAGTACCTCAAGGTAAATAAATGGTCCCCTTCTTTTATCCAGTTTTCTGACAGAGGACTCTTGGCCAGGATAGCATATGACGTGGTTGGCATTTCTTGTTCCTTGAGGACCACTAACCAGCATTCACCCTCCCCATTGCCCCCCATATGTGGTAGCAGGAAGGAGGGAAGGAAGAACGGCAGGCGATCGTCACTACGCAGTGAAGGAGGCCGGCTGAAGAAGGCAGGGTCTTCCATTCTGCTTTGATCTCCTTGCCGTAACCACTAACAAGCTTTGTTTGTTCATTCCTAGTGTATACTTGTGCCTGTTTGTTACCACCGGGGGATGCCCGCTAGCACCTGCCTGGGGTGTGAAGGTTAATGTCCGTTCTTCTATTTTCTGATTTCTGAACTTCAGGAGAAGGTAAAGCTTGATGCTGAGAGGGAAAAGCTAGAGAGGCTTCAGGAGCTTTACTCCGAGCAGAAGACCCAGCTGGACAATTGTCCTGAGTCCATGAGGGAGCAGTTACAGCAACAACTCAAGAGGGTCAGTAGAAAGCAGGAATGCACCGCTTGTTTGCTTTGTTTGGTTTTTCGTTTGTTTGTTTGTTTTTTTCCTTTGCTGTTAAGTTCCGCTTATCTGTGACTTACCACTTCACGTAGCGTACGTTTGCCTAAGTTCTAGTTTTTAGGTCCTTGAAAATAGAAATATGCGTGCTAACAGTGTGTATGGTTTGGTGTCAATCAGTTGAAAGATTACCTTGATGGAATTCTGTCTCCAGTTTATAACGCAAACATGCTTCTGGAGACCTTCATGGTAACTAATGAGAAATCGTTCCTGACTTGTAAATGCCACAAAGATTGTAGCATTTAAATCAAGTGGCATCTTCCTCTACTGCAGCGTGAGTACTGTTTGCCCTTGAATGTCTTTCTTCTTAGTTTGATTTCATGCTCTATTTAAAAATTACCCTCGGCTGTTTGCACGACCCCCTTGGCACTTTTCTTCCTGCTGTTTAGAGACATCGCGCTTATTAGTATGGTGAAAACAAACACCAGTATCAAAGATGCAGAGTATTACAGATGCCTTCGACATCTTGTCACACGGGCATCTTAACTGCTGAGAGGGTCCCAGAGCATGGGCCTGCTAGTTGAATGTTACCAGCTCATTCTCCTATTCCTACTGCAGGCAGGGTTGAAAGGAGCCTGCTGATCACTTTCTGGAAAGAGACCTCATAAGTGGGTGACTTCACAAGCGCTGGCATGGCCACGCATTATTTCAGAGTATCTTGACAACTGGGTCATCTCTGAACCAGCAGCTCAAATCAACAGTGATCCCTGGGAAGGAGGCATTAACAATCTTGTGCCTCTCAAGGAATTATAGGAATAGGAATTAGTCTTACGTGAGTAACAATGTATGATTTCACTTGAGTAGACAAGAAACTTCCCTTTCTCTTTTAAGAATGAGTGAGAAGAAAATTCACTCATTTCAAGTAGCACACTTGAAACAAATTCTGTGACCTTTTTACAAAAAAACCTTTGATATTTAATGGACAATTGCTAAGCAATGAGAAATCAGAGTTAAAACTGTTTCAAGTATTGCACAGGTTCTATTTTAAGAAGGTAGGTATGGTGCTGTATGCCTAGAACCCTAGAGGCCAGCCCGGTCTTGATAGTGCATTCTACCCAGCTAGAGCTGCATGGCAAGACCTTGTCTCAAACAAACACACATGAAAAAGTATCTGATGCAGACAATTTAAACTACAACACAGCACACGGCATTTGTTTTGCAATTGTATGTAAAGGATGTTTTAACAAGCCATCTTTCTCCTTCACTTATTTTTCTTCTGTAAAACTGAACTCACTGCCCAGAAAACAAAACAAAGCCAAACAAAAAAACTTACCTGTTCCTCGCTATCATAGTTCTTTGCTATCATAGTACTTTTCGATAAAAATAATTTTAAAAAGACTAATATTTTAGATTGAAATTATGTTTATGCCAGTTCACGTAAAAGATGGGCATGGTGGATTTTACCTTCGTTTCTTATGTTTTAAAAAACCCTGCTTTTTGCTGATGATTTAGCACTGTCTTCATGACTTTTGTCTAGGGTATGGATTTTATTCTTTCTTTCCTCTAGTTGCTCACAAATCTGTGTTCTTCATAAGCCTTGCTTCTAGAGTCTGTTAGGAACTTGAAGTTGCTAATATCATTAATGACTTCGTATTAACTGATTCTGTAGAATAACTGCTACGCCTATCTATGCTCTAGGAATCATGCCTCATGGAAGGAAGGAAATGATAATGAAAGTGGTTCCATCAACCAAAAACAGAGACTCCTTCCTCATCCTCTCCCAACAGAAGGAAAAAACCTAACATAGGCCGACTTTCCTTAGTTCGTGATAGCATGTGCTCCCCCTCAGAGTCAAAGACCTCATAATTCTATTGCCTAGGCCTCAGGCCTGTGTAACCCTTCACCGGCTTCTTGGCTTGACCAGTAGAAATTTGCCCAAGTTCATCCATATTAGGAACCTCCCATGTTGTCATGCGCATTTCTCTTCAGACCACAAAAGCTTCCCAGAGGCATAAACTAGAGTCAATAGTCTATTTTCTGACAAAGAGGATGAGTAAAAATCATTTTCTAAGCCGTGTGCTGCCTGGAAAACTCGGGCTGAACTGTCTTGGCCGAGTAATTTGTGTACTCCGGACATCTTATCAGCAAACCACTGCTTCAGCCAAACATGCAGGCGATGGCGGGTGGCTCCTGCTGGCTGTGTAGTCCGGAGAGGTTTGCCAATCCCGGGCTGCTATCAGTGACAAGGAGAAAGCTGAGATTAAGGGAGCCTTTTACTTATCAGGGCACTTTTTGCTGTTAAAGTGGCTGAGGCAGACACATAGCTGTGATGGTATTCTAATGCAGTTTATAGTAGTTGTTCTTCTAGATTCTCAATCTGTGGGTTGTGACCCCTTTGGGGGGGGTCACATATCAGACATTCTGTATAGCAAATATTTATATCATGATTCATAACAGGGGCAAAATTACAGTTATGAAGTAGCAACAGAATAAATTTATGGTTGGAGTTTTCACACCATGAGGAACTGCACTAAAGGGTTGCAGCTTTAGGAAGATGGAGAATTACTGGTCTAGATGGCTGATTTTGTTTTTTGTTTTTTTTTTTTTTACTTTAAAAATTGTATGCAGTGGCACCTATAACTGGAAGTGCCTTTTTCCATCACTGCCTCAAAAATTTTTTTTCCCATAGTCTAAGAAAAGTCATTTAGCTTCTGTGGCCCTCTCGGCCTTTCTGTGTGAGAAGGAAAGTTGATATGCTTGCCCCTTTCCATTCGGCAGAACAGGAGGCCTGTTTGACTCCACCGCGTGATATGGAGAGAGGCCGCTCGCTCTGTGCCCCATCTCAGTTTGCCTCCAGAGTTGGACTTAACCCATCGTGAGATGTTTTTCTACCACCACACCCAGCCATACCACATCTGTTCTCACTCTGTCCCCCTTTGGATAATGAAAACCTAAAGATCTGCTTTAAAAAAAAATCTGCCTTAAAATCTCAAAAAAAAAAAAAAAAACAAAAGTTCTTCCACAAGAACTGGCACCAGGTGTTTTCGGGATGCAGCTGTTGCGTATCTCCGTTGCCCTCTCAGCTGCCAGCCAGTGGAGGGATGCCATCAAGTGCTGTCCTTCCGGGGAGTGCAAGCTTTGTTCCAGTTTTCATTCAGTTGCACATGTACTTGACTGAGAGCTGCCCGTGTCTGTTCCCCATCTCAAACTATGCCTGTCTCAAATTCCACTCCCAATGTCTCACTAGCTATCTTTTTTAAAGACCTTATTCCCCCTCCCCAAAGCTTTGCTTCCAGCATTTATGTGCACGCTAAGTTTGCCTGAGGAGCCGGTCACACTCACAGAACCTGGGTGCTGAGCTTAGATGCGTGTTCAGCTTTTCTACCCCATGCACTATTATCTTCATTCAGTGCTTTAAATATCCCCCACAAACCAATGGGCGACTCTGTCGCTGTCTTTCAGGGTTACGACACATGTTCTATAGTGACCACATGTGGAGTAAGAGTGTGTACTGTGAGCCATATGTGTTTAAAGATGATTCCTAAGACAACGGGGGGACTCCAAATTTGTTGTCTTAATTACCTTTAACCCCAAATTAAGCCTAATTGAAGGAGCTTGAAAACTGAGTTATGTGTCCTTGTATGAATAAGTGTATGTATCATCTAGTACATTATTCCAAGACTGCAGACATTTTGTTCAAGATCAACATTTTAATTCTCCCTTAATTCCTATAATTAAACAATTCTGATAAGCTGAAATATCAATCAAAGTCTAGACATAGAGATAGTGAGATACCCTTGGAAAACCAACGAGTGTGTATATGTATTCAAATTTCTTAAAACATTTTCATAGTGCACTTCTTAAAAGTTGGCCTAGACGGATTAGTATCATTCTCCCCCTACCATGCTACACACACACACACACACACACACACACACACACACACACACACACCTCCTGCAGAGAGAGATTCTCACAACTCAAGATCCTCTGCCTCACCTTCCTGAGTGCTGGGATTAGAGAAATGTGCTACCACACCCAACTCGGAATGTTTTTCAGATGGTGTTTTCCTCCCTGGGCGTCCTAGCCAGGGTACATCAGCATATTAACCTTGTTGGTATGGTTCTGTCTGTAATTTCATGGCAACCAGGACCTTTCTGTGACTCATCTCTAGATGAGTCTTTTCTACAAAGACAGAAACGTTCCATCTGACTAGAAAACATTATTCATACTTTATCAGTGAATGAAACCCGGAAGGAGGACGTTAGTGATGCAGTGTTTCTCTCTGAGATGCTGTAACTAAACTGCAGCATCAAGGAAAGCCCTAAATGTCTCAGCTCTGCAGAGCTGTTAGCCACACCGTCCAACTGCCTCTTCCCTTTGGCTAAATATTTTTAGGTTATAATTTTAAAAATGTGCTGCACAGACCTCATTTGTAATTCTGTTAGTGACACTCAGAATAAAGGATTGTTTTCTTTAATGGACTTAGGAAGAATTTGTACAATGTGTCCCAACCCGAGCACAAAGAGTGAGTACATTCCTGCTGCAGGAACATTCAGAGCTTGAGGAACACCTTTTCATTTCGTCATCTTTGAGCTTCCTTAACTGCTTTCAACGTTATTTATGGGGCAGTGGTGCCTAACTTTTTGAATCTCTTAGTTAGGGTTACTATTGCTATGTTAAAATACCGTGACCAAAGCAACTTGGGTAGGAAAGGGTCTATTTGGTTTATATGCCACAAGTCACAGTCCACTGAGGGAAGCCAAGGCAGGAACTCAAGCAGGGTAGGATCCTGGATCCAGGAGCTGATGCAGAGGTCTTGGGGGCATGTTGCTTACTGGCTTGTTCAGTCTGCTTTCTTATAGAATTCAGAACCACCAGCAGAGAGGTGTTCCCTCCCCTATCCCAAGGGTGTTCCCTCTCCTATCAATATGTAATTAAAAAGATGCCCTTCAGTCTGCCTACAGCTCAGTTTCAGTTTTGGTGAGGCATTTTTAAGGTCCTCTTCTCTGATGATGCTAACTTGTATCATGTTGACATAAGCCAGCAGCACAATCTCCCTGTTCCCATTGAGAGCTCTGCTTCTGCTCTTTGCAGCCAAGAGATTTGTGCACAATTGTAACGGATCCTTAAAGGCTCGGTGAAAAAAATCTTGCTCTCCAAATGTGTTTTTTTTTTAAGATGTATTTTTTTTTAAAACAATGTGTATGTTTGTCCTTGTCTCTGTGTGGGTATGTGCATGTGAGTCCAGGTGTACTCAGATGCCCAAAGAGGGCATTAGATCTCCCTGAAGTGGGCTGCCCAGCATGGGTGCTGGAAACCAAAGTCAGGACATCTGGAAGAGCAACATGTGCTTTTTTACCTGCTGAGCCATCCTTCCAGCACACCAAATGAGATTTTTAGGGAGTTGTGTGATCACAGCAAAACTGAAAACAGTCAGAGGCTTCCCACACGTTACGTGCCTCATACAGTCGAAGGCCTCGGTTTTACTGTTCCTTCCTAAACTACTGCCTTCTTAACAGAGTTCATGTTCAGGTGCTGCTGAGTGCTCCTTTCAATAAGATTTCTCAAGCATGTAACCCTCCTCTATAATATGTAGTCAATTACATAATGATATATAATAAGCATTTATTGCATGGGTGCTCAAAATTTATATATTTTAACTTATGTATATATGCTTTTCTACTTGTGTGTACATTAGAAAACATTTGTTAAGAAATTCACCTGGGTATGGTAGCACATCCCCGTAATCCTAGGACTAAGGAGGCTGAGGGAAAATGGTGAGCTACGGGTGAACTGGAGCTATAGAGAGAGAGACCCTCTTGAGAGAGAGAGAGAGAGAGAGAGAGAGAGAGAGAGAGAGAGAGAGAGAGAGAGAGAGAGAGAGCTGAGGAAGGGGGGCAGGGCAAAGAAAGGAAAAGAAATAGGGAAGAGATAAGAGGAACCAAAATGAAAAAAAAAAGCAATAAACCTAAAATTATTTACTGTTTTCCACCTTATACTCCGGTGGATTATGCTACCACATCTGGGGTCCCCTTAAAGGTCTCTGATCTACTACTGGACTAACTTGTGAGCTACTTTATTAGTTTATTTTATAATTCATATGTGGTGGGAAAGAGAATATTTATTTATTTATTTATTTATTTATTTATTTATTTATTTATTTGGGTTTTTTGAGACAGGGTTTCTCTACAACTTTGGAGCCTGTCCCAACTAGCTCTTGTAGACCAGGCTGACCTCAGACTCACAGAGATCTACCTGCCTCTGCCTCCCAAGTGCTGGGATTAAAGGCGTGCGCCACCACCGCCCGGCTCTTAACAGTGATTTTTTTTTTAAAGAGACTGTTGGTCTGCAAATAACATCTAAGTTGTTTATGGAAATCTCTTTATATTTCAATGTCCATCTGAAGCCATCTAGTGGCTTTAAAGGAAAAGATTTACATACACAGAAAAACAAAAACTGTTGGTGAAGTGCAAAGTGCTCTCTAGACCATAGGCCCACCACTTTCTCTACCAGCCACTGCTGGGCTTACCTCCATCACCTCCTTCTAGCCCCATGTAGTAGTAACCAGACATCTGCACCGGAATGAGCACTTCTCATTGCTGTTTCTTCATACTGGGAAGGCCGCAGCCACTCGGGTGGGCTTCATTTTCCTTCCATTTTCTCCAAAGGATGCTGACCTGCTGGATGTCGAGAGCAAACACTTTGAAGACTTGGAATTCCAGCAGCTTGAGCGTGAGAGCCGTCTGGATGAGGAAAAGGAGAATTTGACGCAACAGCTCCTGAGGGAGGTGGCGGAATATCAACGGAACATCGTTGCTAGGAAGGTAGTTTGCTAGGTGTTGAAAGTTTAGTCCTTCCCGTGATGCAGTAATCATGGTCATTCACACACCTCGTCTGCCGCTACATCCGAGAATCCTTTTCTGTTAATCACGTTTGCCCTGCAGCAGACGCTGCTGTGCGCTCTATGAATTGAGACGTGTTACAGGTGCTGTTACAACGTTATAGAGGTGTTAGTGGATAACACACACACCCTTTTTTATTACTTGCATAAAAACCAAGTCACAGATAACCAGCTATTTGTTTCAAATCCCTCCCTCTGGCAGTTGAATTAGTCTAACTAGAGTTAGAATAATTCTGTGAACAAAATCTAGTTGGAAATTTTCTCTCTCCATTGATTAATAATCTCCATTGCTACCTGGGAGCCTGTTACCATTAGCAACAGACCAGTGGAAAATCATTCTGATTACTGTGGACTCCACCCAGGCCCGAGCATCTAGATGCCTAGCTCAGAATTTAGCATTTATTTCAGAAATTGTCAGTATACCCTAGGACATTGTACTACTTTGGTAAAATTGAAGGATAAAGTTGATGGGAATAAAAAAGGGCAGAAAAAGCGACTTCTGCTTTAATAGAGAAATTCTTTTTTTTTTTTTTGTTGTTGTTGTTGTTTTTTTTTTTTTTTTTTTTCCACCAGCATGTTAAAAACAAATCATCAATTCATGGTCTAAAACAGGATTTCCTTCCTATTGAATTCTGGATATTTAAGAATAATCTTTCATGTCATGTGACCTGCACTGGCTGTAAGTTGAGCTTGGTCAGTCAAAGTCAACGTTTCATAGCCTTAGGTGGTCATGGTGGTCCACTGTCAACTAAAGTGTGGGCAGTGTCACTCGGGTTCTAAAGCCCCTTTCTTCCTTGCCCGGGACAAACTGGCAAACCCCTGATTGTCTCATGTGTGTCTCTCTACCATGACTTCTGTCTCCCAGGAAAAGATTTCCGCACTGAAAAAGCAAGCCAGTCACATTGTTCAGCAGGCTCAGAGGGAACAAGATCACTTCGTAAAAGAGAAGAACAACCTAATAATGATGCTCCAAAGAGTGAGTCCTTCCTGCTGCACGGTGGTGACAGCAATGACAGTTTCTGGCTGGGGGAGGGCTGTCGTTTCCAGTGTCATGCCTTGACACTTTCTATGCTGTCTTCCTCATTGGTAGCAATGCTCGCTGATGATCACCGACAACTCAGAGAGTGAGCAAGGAGGTTTCCCTCACGTCATTTCATCCCTGAAAGAACTATGGCAGATCTGCACTTTCTCTTATTTCCTTAGGGAAAAAAGTCAGACTTCTCGTCAAGTAGTTAAAGATACTCTAACAATAATTTATGGTAGATGTAAGGGGAAATGTTCTTTATCCTGCTGTTGAATACTTTGGCTCAAGTCCTCCAGTGTTTCCAGCTGCAATTATCTTTGTGTGGGGGTCTTCCTCATGAATGTCACACTGAAGGTAGTTTGACTTACCTGTATCTGGAGGTACTCCGTTAGCTTGGTGAGAAGAGCACCAGCATCCTCTCTTGGGCCCATGTCCTTATTTGTCCCAGTAAAGTGACTCATAAAAAGGATTTCTAGGATGAAGAGAAAGAAAAAACAAACAAAAGCCGTAGCCACAACTTGGACCTGACCCATGGTATAATTTTAGGAGTAAGATACCAAATACCAAAGCTGATGGAGCCCCAACCTGGGGATAGGATATTGGGGTGGTGGAAACTCTGTATCCCACTTATATACTGGAAGCTTCTTCCTGCTCTTTTCAGCTCCCCTAAACCTCTGAATGGTGCTGTGGTCCCCTCCCCTGCCCTGCTCTGTGGGTCAGACTCTGTCTCCATTCAGCCATCCATAACCACTGTTCTCGTTGTACACAATATTCAAAATCACAGCTTAAATTACACACTATCATGTATGCTTAGGTGGTTGTTGAAATTTTAAGGAGTAAACCAAACCAAAAATACCTAAATAGTAGATTTTTTATAAATAAGCAAATGAGTTCATAAATAACAGAATTCCTCATTAAAAATAGAGAAAACTTAATCCGATTATGAAAATTATGGTTCATAAGTAATAAGAACCCATGACTATATCTGTAAGTACCTTTCAGTCTCAGTCAACATTCCAACAGACTTTTTTTTTTTCTTTTTGTAGAAATGGGAGACAAGTTTGGGCTAAAATTTAAGCTGACTTTCCTTAATATGAATGCCACATTTGTGGTTTGGCTTTCTTGCTAAAATGCACTAGAAGCATTTCCATAGTCATTCACAGACAGACCCAGAACAGTAAGCACGTTGAATCAGCCCAGTGTGCACATTCCCAGGTGAACCTGAAAGACATCCTGCTGCCTCAGTCAGATCTCATGCTCAGCAAGTGTCGTTGTGTGCTGTTTAGTGCCGTGTGTGTGTGTGTGACTGTATCTGTGTGTGTGTATTTTGTTGGTGACTTTACTGTTGAAAGGGCTCACAAATGGTGCTAAAGTATTGTCAAGCACCCCCAAGAACAGAAGACTGTGGTATATTTGGGTGTCCTATACACTTTGTTTTTAGACACTGGTTATAATGTTGTTGGGTGCCAGGCAAGTGTGAGTGAAACAAGAATGTGCCACTTAAGGTGTTTCAAACAGTCACACACACAAAACCAAGCTGCAATTTGACAAATGGATGAAATGTTCCCATTAAGTAAGACACTTGTAAAAGCCTAAACCAGGAGAAATGTAAACTCAAAGTCAACCTGGGCTACATAATTATTCTGACCTATACTGCCGTATCCTGCCTCAAAACTTAACAAGAGGGCAGTGAACTGGCTGAGCTGGTGCAAGCCTGGTGACCAGAGTCCCATCCCTGGAGGTCATGAAGAGGTAGGAAGAAGAGAATGGGCTCCCTAAAGCTGTCTTTTGACCTCCGTCCATCCACCACAGCATTGGTACAGGAGTGTGCAGACTGCATGACACCACACACACACACATCACATGTGAAACAATAATAAAATAAATGAAATAAAAAATTAGAAAGAGGGGCTGGAGAGATGGCTCAGTGGTTAAGAGCACTGCCTGCTCTTCCAGAGGTCCTGAATTCAATTCCCAGCAACCACATGGTGGCTCACAACCATCTGTAATGAGATCTGGCACACTCTTCTGGCGTGCGGGCATACATGGAGGCAAAATGTTGTATACCTAATAAATAAATAATAAAAAAATTAGAAAGAAAGGAGATGGAGGAAGAGGTTGAGGTTAGTATGTAAGCAACAGTGTGACTCAACTTCTCATCACCTAAAATGATTCCAGTCATTATCATAAACCGTGAAAAATTCAAGTGCCAATGAGAACATGGATGAGTAAAAGCAGCCACACCTTGGTGATGCACCTTAGGAGAACTCCCTCCAAGTTTCTTTTCCTGCTTTGACTGTGTATCCACCTTGGTGATGCACCTTGGGAGAACTCCCTCCAAGTTTATTTTATGGCTTTGACTGTGTATCCACCTTGGAGCCAGGATTCCTAGTGGATATTTACCCAGGAGAAATGAAAGTATGTCTTTATAATCGATGTGTACAAAGATGTGTACAAAATTGCTTGAAGTAGCTTTTGCACAACAACCCCCCATCATTCTGCTGAAGCACAATCAGGAGAACTGTGAAGTAACAAAATATCACGCATGTGCTAAAGTCCTCCTCAGCATGCTGTAGGGGTTAACTATGTAAGTTTTGGCACTGTGTGGTAAAGCTGGTACAGGAGTGTGTGCATACTGAATGACTCCATTTCTGTAATACTAGAGAAGAAGGAAGCCAGTGCGCCAAGAAAACTAGTGCTTGACGTCTGTGCTTGGGCTTGAATGAAGGGGGCCATGAATGTGTCTAGGGTGATAGAAATGTTTTTTATCTTGGCTGCAGTGCTATTCTGTTTGTTCAAAATGATCAGTTATATACCTAAGGTCTTTGGATTTTATTGTTATGTAAATTATACCATGGTAGATAATATACCTTATAAATATTTTCCTGGAGGTTAACAATTGATTAACCCAAAATGGATTGTGAACCTAAACATTAAAAAAATGAATGCTGTGAAGTTTTCAAAAGAAATGTACTTATGGATTATGAGGTTATATTGTCAGAGGCCACATGAGTATGTGTGTGTTACTTAGGGAAATAAAACTTTGAGTGTAGAAAATACCCAAAAGATGAAGGTTGAGAAGGCCCTGAGGGACTGAGCAATCCTCCTTCCATTGTGTTGCTGTTTGTTTTCAGTAGTCTAATGTAGCCCATGCTGGCGTTAACTTACTATATAGCTGAGGCTGACTGTGAACTCCTGACCCTCCTTCCTTCACCTCCCTACTGCTGCAATTACAGGCCGGTACCACCAAACCTGGCTCCTCTTGCCATTTTCTGCTTCAATTAGCACATCCTGTCTTCCCCTTAAGACTACTGTCACTTTGTAAAAGTGACACCATTCATCTTGAATGATGGGCTATCTAACTGAATATGTTTGGGAAATTGCTCATACATCGTATCAGCAGACGGCAGGTGAAAACTGTAATGAGAAGTCTTTCCCGAGTGTGAGAGAAGGAAATAGAAATGGGCGTGTCTGGGATTTCGATGTTTGTCTTGAGCGTAATAGATTTTGTATGTCTTTAGGAAAAAGAGAATCTTTGTCATTTGGAAAAGAAGTACTCCAGCCTCACTGGGGGGAAAGGATTTCCTATTAACCCCAATACTCTGAAAGAGGTAAGTTTTCTAAGTCCACTCATGACAACTTGGAAGTCAGATATACCTCAGTTTTGTATAAATCAATTAATAGAAACCTTAGCTTAAATAACTTGGGAAAACTCATAATGCTTGATAAATTTCTTGCTGTTCCTTATTTATGCATCAAGGAGTCTAGATGTATCTTTGTGTGTAAGGCACATGCATGTTTGTGTGAGTCAAGACATATCTGCTTGTCTTGACAGTGACTTTGGGAGGTCCCTTGAGTCCTGCGTTCTCCTCTCTCCATTCCTCATCCTTTCTCCCTCTTTTTCTTTTTTCTTTTTCTCATGAGTCTTATAGAATATGCAAATGACCCCGAGAATTTGAGGAGATGGTTTGTTTTTCTCCTCCTTTGGTTTACCTTTTCCTTTCATATGGGAGCCCGTTTGCATTGACCACACATACTCTTTAACAATCATCCTCTTATCCGCGATATCACACTTGCCCAGATATTCTTTCCCAGAGCTACACTGATAGAATATCTTCACTCTGCTTTGAAAGAGAATGATGCCAATAATAAAGTCACTTTCTCTATAATGACTTATAAACTAAGGAAAAGGGTTGTTGCTACGTTAAAAATTTGTCTAACCAAAAGAAAGAATGCTTTTACTTATAAGAAAGCAGAGTGAGGAATTCATAGCTAGAAAACTGTATGTGTATGTGTGTGTACATGTGCATGCACACTTATTCATATATGTGAAGATATATGAAATAAAATGTTCATCACAATAAGTGCGACCATGTTTGTATCTTAGAAGCATTTGAAAAATATTTTTATAGCAGATTTTTTTTTAGGTCATACCATTTCATAGTTTTCATTATTAGGAACATATAACTAGCAAGGTCAGTGAGGTGAATGTGGCTGTGAATGAAACTTACAGGCATAAGATAAGATCACTGAGGTGTAAGGTAGGCTTCATGAGCTGTGTTAATGAAACATGGCTTGTATGCATGTTTTGATTAGCCACTAAGTGGTTTAAGTAGGAAGACAACATTAATTGATATCCATTTGTAAAGGTCACTCTGGGTCAGAAACTGCTACAGTGGTCCAGGCCAGAGCTTAGATTCCAGCAATGGCGCTGAGATGGAAAGTTGATTGGATTCATATGTATTTTACAAATAGAATTGAAAGTTCTTGCTGATACATTGGATTATATGGTGAGACAACAAAGGAACATTCAAGAACAATGCATGTTCCCAATTTCCAGGTGAGGTGAATGGCTAATGCTTTTTGCCAGGGTATCTGAAGATGAAGAAAGAGTAGTTTATAGCGCAACTCGGAGGTTGACCCTAATCACTTAGGAAGGAGGGCTATGGTAGCAAGTGGATCACATGGATCTTTTGTCCTTTCTGTCTGTCCCCAGATAGGCTAAAATCATTCCTGTCCTGTTGATGAGTTGGTCTTCACTTTTTCTGAAGACCCCTGGGTGTCAGAGATATATTGACTTTTTGGCTATTTTCTACCACATCTGTGTAGTATCTGCACGTTCTAAACATGTAACAAGAAGACTTAGACTTGTACAATGTTTTGACTTCCCGATTCCCAGTCTTCTTGCTTTCAACTTCCTCTTCTCTCTTTTCTCCCCCAGCCTCCTTCTGAAGAGTGATCAATTTATAACCAGATTCTTTGTAGAGCACCCACATCTGATAGAGAAAACTTTTGGAAGCAATTAAACTATATGGTCTAAGACTCATAAAAGGGAATTTTCAAAGCCCGACTTAAAAGTGTTCTATCAGACAAGCTAAAGAATAACTCAAAGATGTTAACGTACTTTCTGATCCATTACCACAGATAAAATTAAACTGGTCAGCCAAATTCAACCCTTCCTTCCTTTGGCTGAACCACATAAAGCCTCACCTGTGTCCCTTTCTGCTGTGTAAGACTTTAGGACATGGGTTGACAGCACTCGTCCCCTGCTTTCTCTGCTGTAATGATGGGCTGTCCATGCAGCCTTTCATTCCCAGGCTAGAGTTTTTGCTGCATGGAGTCGCTTTACTAGTGGTTCCATCATTAATGATCTAAAAATAGAACCACAAGGCCAAACTGAACCCACTTTCACTTTCAAAACACTGTTATTTTATTCTTTCCTTCATATGTTTCATTGGTGTGGCAAAAATCTTGATTGACTTGTGTAATTGCTTCCCATGAAAATCATTTTAAGTGCCTTTTCCACAAAGATACGTTAAGAGTTTTGATTCATGGGCGTTTTCTTTAAGCTACAGACGAAACTGGGTTACTGAGTTCAGAACAACTGGAACTTCTCTGTCCTAGCAACAAGCACCTGAGTTGGGGGAATTACCTTGAGTGGTAGCACCGCTCAGTGGTAGGTTGCAACTCTGCCCGAGGTCTGTGTCTCCACACATGAATGTTAAGCGTGTCATCCTTCTCATTCCTCCTGGACTGAAATACCCAAAACTAAATCCCACTAAAGCTAAGTTGCTATTTTTATAAACGTTTTCTTGATAGAAAACCCAGTAGTCCATCAGCCCACTTAAACTGACTTTGTAATTTTCCAAAGACGGAAAAGAGAGATGATGCCTATTTTGTGGAAAAGACTCGTCAATCAGAGAGCGAGTGATCACATTGTCTATTGTGTATCTGATTGTTCCATACATGTGTAGAGATAATGCCATTCCATTGACAGAATTATGCTGAGACCTCTGGACCTTTATCATATGGTCATCTCGATTTCAGCGGAAATTATGTTTAATACTTTGAATGATATTTCCCAAGATTGAGCACTGCAAATCCATTCTCATTGCTGATCATTCACTTAATGAGACATTGCGTGGTGCCCAGGTACCTGGCTGTGTTGCGCTCGGCTAACTCATTGTACTGGGAACATTAATACTCTCGCATGCCTCAGCTTTTGCTTCCCTTGTGTTTAACTTCTGAATTCCTCCTTTTAGGGCTATATCAGTGTAAATGAGATTAATGAGCCATGTGGCAATTCCACGAATCTATCCCCTTCCACTCAGTTCCCTGCTGATGCTGACGCTGCTGTCACTGAGCCTGCCTCGGCTGTGCTGGTGAGCCAGCCCCAGAGTCCAGAGGTGTGTGGGCATGTGTTTCATTCATTCACTGCTTTTTCTCATGTCAGAAATTAACCCACAGTTCACTGAAAATAAGCAAAACGAGTATATGGTGCTCCGAGGGGCCAGAATGATGCTGAGTTTATGAATTAGACTGTATTTGGGGGGTGGGGGATGGGAAAACACTGTTCTACACACAAACAAATGTTAGAAACCATGGAATGTGTGGTAATAGTGGGGGCTAGACATAATTGCCAATAAGTAAGGTCAATGTCTTAGCAATCTAACCAAACCTAATTTTAATTAGATTCAAACTCATTGGTTTGAATCCCCTTTCTCAGATGGGTTTTGTGGTCTATTTTGCTTGGCAATATTGAATCACGCTTTAATTGTTATGCTTTTTTAAGCATAACATTTCATGTTAAGCGTTCCTGGGAGTGGCCAGTGAAGTGCAGCCTAAATTCCTCCTACTGGTCACATGGCCTGCGGTGTGGGACTTTAGCAAGAGGGTCAATGGAAAGATGGTGCACGCCATTTGTGATTTTGTGATCAATGCACAGCAAGTCCGAGCAAAGAGATTACAGATTCCGTGCTTCTGTCTCTTCCGTCCTCTCATCTCACACTGGCCTGTGTATCCCTCTTTTTTCTCCTATAAAGCAAAGAGCAGCCGTCTGTTCTGGATTTCTGTTTCCTTCCACCCTTTCGCTTCATCCTGTCACTCCACCTTCGTCAGCCGCTGGGCCAGAAGTTCTGGCTACATCTGTCGATCCTTTCCCTTTAAATGACACACCTCCTCCTCTGCCCGCTAAGAAACACAGAAGGCAACAGCAGCTGGAGCAACAGGTAACTAGAAAGGTGGACAGGCCTTTCCTTTAACGTGATGGCGGTCTCATTAGCAGCTCCATTCCGAACAGACAACACCTTTGGTGGCAAAGCAATCAGTTTTCAAATCTGTTGCCTTAGGCCCAGTATTAACAGACCAATTTCAGTGGAGGGTCTTACTTAGTTTATCCAATTCTGAAAACCAGAGCCTAGGAATTTATCCCATTTGCTCACAGTGAAAACAAAGTATTCTGATTCTGTTTCTAACTGAAATCAGAAACTAATCATCCAAACTCTGAGGTTGTGTCATGGTGATGTGGGTTCTCTGACCACGAATTCCAACTCTGCCACCTTCTAGCTGCAGGACCTCGGGCAAACTTACTCAATGTCTCTGCAACCCAGATTCCTCCCTTATGAAACAGAGACAGAAAAGCAACCTCACAGGATTGTGACAAGAGCCGAATGAGATCACGAATGTGGAGCATGAAACCCAGCAATTCAGAGGAAGTGCTGAATAAATACTAGCTACTGGAAATATATTATTATCAAGTTAAAATCCAAGACATCACTGGCGTGCATTCGTTTTTATGTATTTCAAAAGGCTGAGATTAGCACTAAAGTGATCTACCCAAAGGACACGTTATTATGAAGTCATTTTACTATCCATAAACATTTCAGGGAGTGTAGAGAGATCAAGCAAAATTTGGATGTTTTAAGATGGTAAAAATCTTGCCTTAGAAATCTGACTGAAGAAAGAAAGATGTAGTCTATTGGAGCATTTAAATATGAGAGATTACTCAGGAATCTCCTTGGCCATAAGGTTTTAACATGAAAGTAACTTAGATGGGAGGCGTCTATGAAAGCCTTATGCTGGGTTTGGAGTATATATGATTGTGGGGCTACTATTCTCCATCAGCTTTCCTGTTATTGCCCATTCTCTTCATTCTCTTCTGTTTCCTACTTCTCGTCCCCCTCTCTGGGGTCTGTGTCACCACACAGAACTCTCTAGAGACAGGAAGTGGGGAATCGCTAACTTGCTTTGGCCACCTGCTGTTCCTCTATCGACCCAGTGGGACCATCACAGCAATGGCGACCATGCTGGCAATTTGTAAACAGCACTATAGAAGTAAAAGGTGGATTTTCTTAAAGAAAAATACCATGGTGCAGAAATAAATAATTTCCATTGTCACACCAAAAGCTAACTCTGATCTGTCAGTGTAAAAGAAACTTCAAAATCCAGCTACCCAAGTTCCTCTGAGTGCCTTGCTTCTGCGTTGTGTCGGTGATGTGTGTCAGTCAGTCAAGTTCTGCTGTTCTGCTTTGCATTTGCATTTAAAGCACTTTAGGAGTCTGGAAGAAAGGAAAAAGCAGTACAAAGAAGGTCTCTATCTGAGTGACACTTTGCCTCGAAAGAAAACCACTCCTTCCATCTCCCCACACTTCAGCAGTGCCACCATGGGGAGAAGCAGCACCCCGAAGGTAGGACGCAGAAGGGCCAAGGCCTTCTCTTTACGTAACATCTTCTTATAGTCGCCAACAATGCAAAAATAACTGAATACTGTGCCATTCCATTTGCTTATTGGGCAGATGTGGCAACCAAATTGCTTCTTCTGTCCCATTCTGAGGGTATTTGGAATTACACATTCTAGACTCAAGAGTGTATTTCCAGTCACCACAGTACAGGTGATGGGTATTGTACTCCGTACTCACAGGACAGGTAATTTCTGTACCCACAACAGAGATCCTGCGCTTCGGGAATTACAGTACTCAGTAGTTACCAGGTGGCATCTGCGTGCCTGGTACCAGGCTTAGCCCTTTGTGTTGTGACTCTAGCACCACTATGTAAGTGCTTACTCGTCACTACCCTAATAATGGGTAAACTGAGGAAGAAGAGGAAGGAGAAGCTAAGTGACAGCCCAAGGTCTCTCAGCTGGAAATTGGAGAAGTCAGAATATGAAATCTGGTGGCCTGACGCATGTACCCTCTGCTGGCATGAAATGGGAGGGGGATAGAAGGGAAGCTTTTGGTGGGGTGGACTTTCAGCCCTTCTCATATCCATATTTAGAGTAACTTTATTGTAATCTATTTTACAAGTTGGTGTTTTCAATGGGCTTTATTCACTTGAAAGATTTAGCAATTTATAAGAATAAGAGTGGTGCACGGTGATGCACACCTGCAGTCCTGCACTCGGGAGGCTGAAGCAGGAGGTCGGTACGAGTTTGAAGCCTGCCTGGCCTACAGAGTCGGACCCTATCTCAAACAAGCAAAGAACCTATAAAGCATGCTAAAGCCAGTGGATCTTAGTGGGTATCAGCATAGCCAAGTGCAGAGAGAAACTGGAACATCTGGGCACGGATGGCTGGTCTCTGCAGTTTTGCATGGTGTGCATGCATCCTGTCCGTGCACCTGCCCTCTGCACCTTCTGCATGAGGAGCTTTCTGTCGCTCTCACGAGGCTGTGGGCAGTGCCTTTCTCTGCCCATCTTCTCTTTAGGAATTGTTGCCATCGGAGGACATGCTGTTGATACTGAATCTGCAGCAGAGTTTCTTGAGAGTGACAGTGGGTGACTGACTAGCCTTTACCACTTGGCATCGAGAATTAAAACTTAAGACCAACCATCTCGGCCCTTTGCCCGTAGAGAGGAGGTTGGAACCAGGAGTGTGCCCGCATCCTGGAGTACCACTTGAGATTCAGTTTACCTTGCCTGAAGTGTTCTCCCTGCTTCTCTTAGGCTCACCTGCCTCTGGGACAGAGCAACAGCTGTGGCAGTGTGCTCCCCCACTCGCTGGCAACCATGACGAAGGATTCAGAGTCTCGCAGGATGCTCAGAGGTATGTGGCCTTTAAATCACATGTCATGGTCTTCTTTAAAGCCTGAGAATTCCCCAGGGAGAGGCAATGAGAACAAAGTTGGGGATGGTAGAGGGAAGATCAACCATGTCCGAAATTTCAATATTGGTATATTGCCCTTGGGAAAGGATGTGTGTGACATCATCTTTGTAATAAGGTACCACTTCCCTGTTTGCACACCTGTTTATACAAATTCAGTCAAACTTCCATACTGGAAAGGCCTGGACAGAAATACTAACCTTGCCATTTGACTGAGAGAAAGAAAAGGGAAATCACTGAAATGTTGAGAAATGTCCAGGGCACTTAACCAAGACTAGCAGTCTCATCTGTGGCTGGCACACTATGCTAAATGACCCTTCACTTGAGTCAATGGATTGACATTGTTAATGGGCCCAGAAGAAAATTTCTTTGAGCCTTTTGGTTATAAGCTTGAGCACTTCGACTGTATATTCAGGTTTTAGTATGAGTTCTTTGAAACAACATATTACATGTGTAATTTGGTTATCAGATAATATTTAAGGGAGACTGAAAGAAGTTACTAAATATCATTCCAGATGCAAGACTTACTGAAATAAAGTTACTCTGCTAGAACAGTAGTTTATATCAATAAATTATATTGGCTTTAGTTTTTCAGTGGACTTGTCCTAGATACCAAGAATAAAAATGAATGGCATATTATTCAACTTTGAAATGCTTGGGATATAGAGAGAAAGGAGGGAGACATGTTACAGATGATTTTAATACAATGTCAAACAGTGCTGGAGGTCTGTTGACAATATCAAGAGCAAAGCTGGCAGACATCTGACCATCAAATGCATTTGTGAATTGATGGATTGAAATCTTGCCCTTTATGTGACTTAAAATTGAATTCTGACTCCTACCTTTTGGGGTCAGGGGTATTTTAAACAGTTGGAAACTGGTTAAACATGGATGAATTTCCAGTACCCACTGAAAAATTCCCTCCCCATACTATCCTTAAAAAAAATTGAATTCTGATTGATGGGCTTCTCTGCTGGTGGTATTAGGGTATAATACATCATACACACACATACATACACATACATACTACATATGCATATATATGTATATGCTTATATAAATAATGCGTGTGATATGAATATTACTAAAATGAGGTTTTAAATCAGTATTAGGAGTCATTTAATTAATGGAGCAAACAAATTTTTTCTGGGTAGTAAACACCTATATTTCTAGCACTCAGGAGACTGAGACAGGAGGATCACAAATTGGTGGTCAGCCTGAACTACACAGTGACACATTGTCTCACAAGAAGGAGTTAATAAAGCTGGACAAGGTGACATATGTCTGTAATCTCCCCACTTGGGGTGGGGGCAGGAGGGTTCAGGATTTCAAGGTCAGCCTGGGCTAGGTAGCAAAAAAAGGGTTGAGGCAGGCTATAGTGTTCATTTGAGGTTTATATTAGTACTATTTAAATAAAATATACTTGATTAGACTTTTGTTTTGTTTATTATAATTTCTTAAGATGATAAAAATATTTCTTAGTATTCACAATAAGCATAGAAGTCTATTTTAGCTCCCACTCATTTCTGTTAACTTGAAGGTCAATTCTGTTTTCTGTTGAACCATTTTTTCTGTAATATTAATAGGCTGCCCTTAAAAATGTGTATCCCACTCTAATGGAAGGAATCCAAGCTTGACTTGGCTGTGCGACTGAGACCTTTCTGCATATTCATGAATTTTCCATCTTGCATATGCATGAGCTCTTGGTATTCCAGTGACTTAGGGAAAGGTGGAACACTAAGAGGGAAGCGGGATCAGAAATTACTACTACCAGTTCTGTAGTAGTTTTTTTCTACTATTAGCTCTTTGCTCTTTGGGGGGTTTAACACCCAGCTCCCTAATAAGCACATGGAGCTTATTCTTACTTATGAATGCCCTGCCTTAGCCTGGCTTATTTCTAGTCAGCTTTTCTTAAATTATCCCGTCTACCTCTTGTCTCTGGGCTTTCACCTTTTTCCGTTTCTATCTATCTTTTCTTTCCTTCCTATTCCATGTCTGACTGTATGACCTGGTGCCTGGCCCATCATCCTTCTCTCCTCCTTTTCTTGTTTCTTCTTCTCTCTTTCTCCTTTTCTCTATTCTCTCTGCCTGGCAGCCCCACCTATCCCTCTCCTGCCTAGCTATTGGCCGTTCAGTTCCTTAGTAGACCAATCAGGTATTTTAGGCAGGCAACATAACACAGTTTCACAGAGTTAAATAAATGCAACATAAAAGAATGCAACACATCTTTGCATCATTAAACAAATATTCCACAACATAAATGAATGTAACACATCTTAAACTAATATTCCTAACACAGTACCAAGAAAAAAAAGTGTGTGTGTGTATAATAGAGAGCATGGAGAGCTGGGTTTTGTACTAAATGAGTAGATCCATTACATTGAGAGTTGTTTGCAGTGTCATGCATCCAGGTTCTTGTGAGAAGGTGATGAAGCTAGGAAATTTCTGGTCTACTTTCTAATCTGCATTTCCCTTAAATAATGGGATAGTTTAGTAAAGAGAACCTAAGTCAACCCTCTGAGTCATATTACAGACGTAGGCTCTGCAAAGTCTACTATCTGGTTTATCTTTGGTGTTCTTGTTCTCCTTTGTCATGACTTTGTGCACTTGAGAGGACTGTAGCTTCAGGCTTTACTGCACTTCTGAAGTAGTGTCCTGCTTAGAGCTTTATGAGACTCTGCTGGGATGGTGCTGAAGAAGGTGTATTGTACATGTGCTGATCCCAGTTCTCTGGGAACTCAGCCTGCTCCTCTACCCAGAGGAGGAATGGCCAGGGATGAGATTTCTTCAAGCCACAGCAGATGGTAAAAATTGGCAGGCGTTTACACAAAGCCCATATGGGTGTCTCAGAGAGACCAGGAGAGGTGAATCATGCATTCGTTTAGAATTGTTTCCACAGCACTTGTTGATGGCATTTAAATAGCAAATGCGATTAAAACTGCAGCCTGGACAAATTTGTATCTACTACGTTTTTATTATGTCAAATTTAGTAGACTTCATCATTTACTTTTGATGTACACAATTAACTAAAGTGCACCATTCTTTTGCTGCTATTCATAATGGATATATCAAGGATGATGGTGTAAGTATAAGCCTTTTACAATCAGTACTGTTCTCATAGCACTGACACTGTGACTCCAGGAACATTGAAAGGAACAGAGTTCAAAAGGCGAGAACTGAGGGCCTGGCCTCCTGAAGTTGCAGGGGTCATTGGCTTTTTTTTTTAATACAGCTTGTCAACTATTCTTTATAAACTTTAGAACAAATGAAACTTTTATCCTTTTTTTCCTCTTTTTTTCTTTTTGTTAAATGCAGGAAAGCCCAAGAAAGGTATGACAGCCTCCTTGTGTGGTATTTTTGTTTCCAGCAAATATGGAAAGGTCACTGTCAAGTCATCTTTTTGACTTGCTCTGATTTTGAGGTCTACAGTGGTGGATGTTTCGCCTGATTGTTCCTTTTATCCAGTAGGGGGAAAATGCTGTACATTTTTAAGGAACACAATGCTCATGGCAGCTGCTGTTCCTGCAAAGGCAGCTGCATGACTTTTTGTTGGGGCTTTTATAACAAGTTCAGACCATGCAGGAGACACAGATGCTGTGACAGCATTCATTTGTAAGGTTCGTAGCCTGACATTCATTGGAGGGGCTACTTAGAGACAAGAGTGGGCATCAAATGTATGCAGGCTCCCCGCAAAGCCTCTCCTTATAAGAGGCCAGGTGGACATACAGGCAAGTGGGTTGGGGAAACTCTGGTGTGTTTGCTTCACTCAAGCTCCTTTGATAAGAAAGACTTTGGCGGGTGAAGAAAAGCGTAAACATCTGGCTTGAATAAGTAAGATGGCTGGCTACTGCTGAGGCTAGGGAGCAAGACATAGCATGAGAAAGAACTTGTTATAAAGTTTCATGGGCTGTGCATCCAATAACTGAATGGCATCTCAAATCTGGGTTGATCTAATGATATTTATGTGTATGGGTCTTTTGCCTGCATGTATTCTTGTGCACCATATATGGGCCTAGTGCCCAAAAATTCCAGAAGAAGGCATAGCTCCTCGATCTGGAGTTACAGAAAGTTGTGAACAGCCATGTGGGTTTTAGGAATGGAACCCAGGTCCCTTTTAAGAGCAGCCAGTGCTCTTGACCACTGAGCCACCTCTCCAGCAGCTTGAATAGGAAATTTTACCTTAAGTTCTTGAATACTATTCGCTACTATCTGCTTGAGAAAAAAATGATTTTATAAATATAATCTTGTTTTTCATTATTATTGTCATTACTATTTTCTGATTGGTGAATATTTGTAAACTTTTTTTTCTTTTGTAGCAAATCTCTTTATTTTCTAACTATGCATGTCTCGTGAGTCTTTTTTTAAAAATCTTCAGTTTTTCTCTCTAATCTTAGATTGAATGTAAAATGTAACTATCATTTATGCTCATCTGCTGTTATTACTAATATGTCTATGAGTGCATGTTGTGGTGGATACTTCCCCATGCCCATGTCAGCCTTTCTGACCCTGTATCTTTCCCTTTCTCTGCCTTTCTCTCCCTCCCCTCCTGACTTGTCCATTCTTCTGGCTGTGGACTGTCTTTAGGAAGGATGAATTCCTCAGCAGGTGAGCTGTGACCGGGACCTTGTCAGAAGCACACACTATTCCATCCTAAGCCCTGGTTGTAATTGTAAATCATCCTGGTTTCCACATTAAGACACAGATAGCCCTAAAGATGTATCATATGTGTTTGAAATATGGTGGGAAACTACGTATCCCGTGAGGTTAATTCACAAGAGAACTTTGGGCACCGATAAGCCAGAATTCATTGAAATTAGCATTAAAAATAAGAAAAATGACTGGCCTTTGTGCTCCAATCTGATGACTTTCCTGGGCAAGGAAGAGGGTTGAGGCAGTTGTTTCCTAGTACATTCTGTACTATGGAACAAGCCTAGGCATGGCTTCTTGCTTTGCAGACCTTAGAGCTACCTCACCACACAGTACATTCAAGAGCCTTTTTTAAAATTTGTTAAAAGCTCTTTGAATTTTTTTTAAGCTCTTCTCATTCCCGAACATTGTCCTTGCTATATAACTAAAAACAAAAACAAAACAACCACAAAACCAAATGGACTTGGGTTGAGAACCTCTGGAGTTTCCTAAGTTAGCTCTCTTTCTCCATCCCTAAAAGGAGATGAATTTCTGCTTGAGTGCTCAGATAGCTGAAATTCAGAGATGAAAGGTGAATTCATTCAGTGTCAATTTTATGATGTCTTTGGGTTACATAAGCAGGCGCCCTGCTGTGAGCAGGACACCCCCATCTTCCTCACAGAGCCTCCCTGACTGGAAACACAGGCCAGTTTGCGGCTGCTCCACTGCCTCTCCTGACCCAGCAGTCCTGGGGCTGCCTTTCTCTCAAGCTCTCCAAGCTCTGTTCTGCTCTGATGTTTCCTTTACAAAAAGTACCCATGCCTTTGGATGATCAGATCTGAGCTCCATCCCACTCTAATTCTAAGATTACGAGGGAGAGAGCTATGTTCTCGTTTATTGACTCATTTGTTGCCTTTATTTAAATAAAACATCTTGGTATTTATTCCAGGTTGAGCTGGAACTCACAATAATTGTACTGCCTCAGCCTCTTGAGTGTTGTGGTTACAGGGGCACACCTACCACGCCACAGCCATGCCCTTATTTGTAATGGTGGGAGTATTATTTTTGAAAATTGTCTGGCAGAGAACGCCATCTCAGATTGACAGTTGTAAGAGACAACAACTCCTGTAACAACTCTTGGTTGGCAGTGCTGAGTAACTTGGTGAAGTGAACCTCCTGTTCACACTGGAAACGGTTTCATTATCCAGAGGTTTTGTCATTCAAGCAGCTGTAGAACTTTAAGACCCTATTCTGCTATTGGAATGACTATGCAAGCCCCTTGCACACAGAGCAAAACTCAGCAAATTTGGGGTTGGTCTGTGGAGCTGAGGTCTCCAAGCCACAGGGTGGCTCACACTGTAGTGGAGTTGTTCCTTGTGCACATGCCTGAAAACTCTGGGTGTCTTAGTTCCCTGCCTCTCTCAACTGAAACTATAAACTCATTTTCTTAGTCTGTGATATTTCTGAAGAAAACAAAACAAAACCCAGAATTCTGGAGATTGGAGAGGCAAGTCATGAGAAGAACAAGCCCTTCCTTTTTTTTTTTTTTTCTTCTTTTCTGTCCCCAGAATGTGTTAATTCCTCCTCCGGATTGACTTTTCCTCACTGAAGAAAGCTCTTTGTGAGAGGGTGGGAGGAGGGGTTGGCATAGAAATCAAGGCCAGGGATGTAATTCTCATATGCTCTAAATTACACGAAAGTCTTTGAAGGACCTGTCTTCCATGTCGTTGATACCAGTGTGAAGGCTTTCTATCCTTCAGCATTGTCTAAAAGTCATAATGAAATAATTGCATGTAGCCTTTTCAAATAATTTCTCTTGTCATTTTCCCTTCCTTTCCTAATGAATATCTGGAAATGATGTAAAAGGAACAATTAATAATTCCAAAACTTCAAGTGTAAAAGGTAAATATCTGAGTGATGACTTCCTTGCCTTTCTTTGAAACAGTGACACAGAGGGCACACTAGGAATGCCTGGCTTTGTGACGCTCTGTGCACTGATCACTGCTGTAAGGGTGTTGTGTCTGCTTCCCAGTGTGCCTCTGTGCTTTACCTCTTTCCCTAGGTCCCTGATAAGTGTCTGTAATTTATAACAGCAGATCAAGTGCAGAAATCTCATTTTCTGAGAGATACATCCATTTGAATAGCAGTTTCACATAGGCCTCCAGAACCATACAAATACAAAGGGCACAGAAATATTATATAACCTTTGAATAGATGATACTTTATTAAGTCATCATGGGTGAGGCTTTTATTTCTAAACAAATGTAGGTCAGCAGTTGTGGAAGCTGTTTTGTTTGGTTTATTTTATGGGTTTTTGTTGGTGGTGGCAGTATTGTTGTTTTATTTCTTTTTGTCTCCTTTAGGCCACCTTTTTCCCCCTTAATTAAAAATCCTCATTGAAAGGTAGTTCCCAGGAAAAGATGCCATATTAAGTGGTCTTGTAAACTCTTAATAGGCCTGCTGTTAAGTCTCTGGTTCATGGGAAAGAGATTTTTCTTTTATCAGAAAATATGATTAAACTATGGGAAAACATTTTGATTAACTTGGAGATTTTTCAGTTCTGTCCCTGCTTCCTGTGTATGTACGGCAGAGAATTGAAAAGAAGGTAGTGTGATGTTTAATACACAAAGGTAGCTATAGCAATAACTCCTAGTAAGGCAATGACCTCATATGCCAGCTGTCAGAGTACAAGGGGAAAGAAAATGCCTTTCATTTCCGGTGCTTTTGATCCTGTTGACACTCACATTTTCAAACAGTTAGCAGCAGTTAGCTAAGGGCTGACTGTTATAGCAAGGAGAAGGAGCTTGTCCATGGCAAGGATTACTGACTGGGAGTATCTTAAATAAGTAATTGGCAGACAAGAGAAATTGGAGGAGGAGAAAGAGAACAAAAGGCAGAGAGAGAGAAAGACTATGAAAGAGACAAATGCCGACTGCATCCGAAACAGATGAAAACATTACAGACACTCTGAAAAACACACAATTCTCAACCCTTACCCCTGCAAAATCCACTTGCTGTTTTGTGAATGCTCCTAAAATCTGAAAGCAGTTGCAGGAGTGGCTGTCTTATAATGCTGACATTGCACTGGGCATCACGTTGCCTTCATTTAAACACAGTTATTTCTAGAGGATTCTGAGCCCTTAATTGTGCTTCTGTTTCTGGGGATTGTGCATGCATGTGTGCATGTGTGTGCATGCATATGTGTGTACGTCTTTTAATGTCCTGATGTATTGCTGTCAACTCTGCTGAGTTGTAGGGATGGGATTTAAGAAGTGCCGAGTGATCCCACTGACAAATAAAATCCCTCTCATGATCACTTCTTTCAAGTTCTTGCTCACACTGGGCATGACATTGTTTCTTTGATCTTCTTGACTTCAGACTATTTTAGGCCAGTGTCCAGATTTCACGTGCAGATGTTTCTCGTTGCTGGCTTGAGTGTGTAGAGTTGTGGGATTCTGAGCTTGATAAACGAGACACATTTACATATTTATGGCTTTCTCCTTAGGTTATAATCACCAACAGATGAGTGAAGGACAAAGACAGAAACCTGAATTTTACAGCCGCACAGCATCTGAGTCAAATGTCTACTTGAATAGTTTCCATTACCCAGATCACAGCTACAAGGACCAGGCCTATGACACGTTGAGCCTGGACAGCTCGGATAGCATGGAGACCAGCATTTCTGCCTGTTCTCCAGACAATATCTCTAGGTAAGGCTTGATGAAAACCACGTCCCAGTTTCAAACATAAACTCATCAGTTTGAGACATGATGTATATTATAATTAGATATAAAACATACAGTGCAACACTAGAGACCTGTTTTTTCTGACCCTTGTGTTTATTGACAGTCTAAATAAAGAGCAAAGCCAATGCCAGCTCCAGTCATGTTCTGGTAGTCATGAAAATGATGTTTCGACAGAAAGAGAAGGCGAAGGTGCCCACAACTGAGTAACTCTATCACTCTACACATGGCTTTTTGTGACATAATAAACCACAAAACCAAGCTTGTGTCACTAGAATTTCAGAATGGAATTACTTCTTTAATAGATGTATAATTTTGGGATATTTTAATGCATAGTTTAAAAAAATCCTCAGCACAGCAATTTTTGTTTTTAGTCCTCAATTGTTGTGTGTACCAGCTTCAAGACAACTCTAAGGCCTGCTTCACAGAACACCTTCCAGATCGTCTCTATACTACTTTGTTCTGTGGACTTCATCATGGTGTCTTCCAGCATAAGGAGTAAAAGATTACCTTAAAATAACATGCTTTTTACAATTTTCAGATTTATTTTTATTTTATGAATATGAGTGTTTTTCCCTGCATATGTATCTGTACTCTATGTGTGCCTGACTCCTTTGGAGGCCAGAAGGGGGCATCAGATACGTTGGAGTAACTGGCAGGCCTATACACAGTTAATTAGTTACAGACAGCTACTACATATAGTCAAGATAGGTGCTGGGAATTTAACCCAGGTCTTCTGGAGGGGCAAAACGTGCTCTTAACAGTAAGCCATCCATCCAGCCCATAAGATGTACTTTCAAGGTAGTTATTGGCACTGGAGCGGGACTCTTTACTTTACACTCTACTTTTGTTGGTATTTTCTACTTTAGGTTCTTTTCTTTTTCTTGACATTTTGAGTTAAGCCCTTAGTGATATCTGACCATGAGCAAAAGTTATTTGCAACTGCCAGCACAATAGGACCAGTCCTGGGTAAAACAGCTATGGACAGTAATGGGACTGTGAACAATGATTACCAGAAATAGTAACTCTGCAGGAATATTGTCATACAGAGATCTAAGGGACAGATTGTCTCACCAGACACACACACACAAATAACTATGTGAAATGATGGGTATTGGTTTTTGTAATCATTTTACAATATATGCAAATATGATATTATCACATTTTATACCACAAATATGTATACTTGTTGGTTAGACTCAGACTCGATAAAGCTGAAAACAAGACAAGTAAACAAACAAAAACAGTAAATAATAAAATCTAAATGAATATAAATTGTATAAAATGTGACAAGTGAGTTCAGTTATAGTGAGTTTCTTTTGTGTATAGGTGCCTGTGTATGTGTGTGTGGTGTGTATATGTGTGATGCTGAGTATGAAACCCACAGCTTCATGTGCCCTAGACAAGTGCTCTACCATTTAGCTATAGCCCCAGTCCTAATTTTTTAGGGGGGAGAGGTGGGTTGAAGAACTGTGATTTATTTATTTGCGACAGTCATACAAGTGTCATCATGGGAAGCAGCACGGAATATGCATATATTTGTAAGCTCTTGTATGGCCTGCTGTAGTAAAAGGAAAAGGAAAAGAAAAGAAAGGAAAAGAATAAAGTCATTGTATTCTGTTTCTCAGGGTAAAGCACCTGGGTAAAAATTGGCCCCAACACACATACTGCACCCAGTTGTTAGGCCTGTAAGATTCCAATGTCCCTTAGGTGCTTCCCACTTCCTTGTCTGCTCCTAGTGGGACCGCAGTTTTGAGAAGATAAGCTATGTGCTCTGGGTTACTAGGGTCCTTCATCTCTTCACAACAGGAGCCATCTTATGTTTGATTTTTGCCAAAAATAGTTAAGGAGGCTGGATGTGGTGTCTCACACCTGTAAATCCCGGCTCTTAAATGTCAAGGTAGGAAGTTGGTGAGTTCCAGGCCAGACTGGGCTACATAGTGAGACCATAACTCAAGGTTCATACTGGCCTGGGTAGATGATTCAGTCCATGTAGTACTTGCCATACAACACTGGGATTTGAATTCGATCCCTATAACCTGGATGGGTGGGTGGATGGATGGATGGATGGATGGATGGATGGATGGATGGATGGATAGATGGATAGAAAGAGATGATAGGTAGATGATAGATAGGTAGATAGATCATACACACACACACACACACACACACACACACACACACCTACATAAATACATAGAAAGATGCCAGGTGCGGCAGCATAGGTCTGGCATCCCAGTAAGGAGAGGCAGAGCCAGATCCCTGGGATTAAAGAGTCATTCAGTCTAATTGGGAAGCTCTAGGGTGGTGTGGGACTCTCACAAAGCTAAGTAGAGGGCTCCAGAAGAACACCATCTCTGGTCTCTACACACATGCACAGAACACATGTATCCTACACACACACAGGTGTCCATGTACATATATTATTTAGTCATGCTTTATATGATGTACTCTAATGACCTGAAGGGCTCTGTGTATTCCCCTTTGTACAAACTTTTATTTTTATACACTTTCTATGAATGACAAACAAAACAGCCTGTCCATTCTCAAGTGAGCCTAGAAACAAGGTAGGGGCTTGAGTGAGCACAGCACACTGTGCAGGACACAGCAGGGCTCTTCATGAATGAAACATCTGGATATATGACCTCTGACCTAGACCCTGGCTGTTCTTTCAGCTCGCACTCTTTTGTTTTTTCCCTTTACTTGTTGGGGTGATGTCGTTTCTAAGATGCATTTCTTTTACCGTTCTTGAATCCCTTTGTGCATTTTCCCCATTAATTAACAGGGGAGGGAAGGCTCTGAACAAAACTGACCACCCCTTACTCAGTGTGCCTGTACAAGTCACTTTGACATTGGTATCATTTAAAAAGTAAAAGGCCCACACACTCAAAATACAGCAAGCTACAGGGGTAACACTGAACACCGTGACTTCAGACATTAGGCATCATTTACATAGACAGTGATGATAGTCTCGTTTGTACGATGATGTGAGAGTCAGGAGCTGAAGGGAAGCTCACATGGCTGTCACTGTTAGACTGGCTGTCGCTGTTAGACGTGAAGGCTGCATTTTGGATGCATACTTTGTAAGAAGATTCAGCTTTTCCTTCTTTGCTTCTAACCGGTTTACATTGGTCTTGTCTTGCATGTCCACTTTTGACTCCTATACTGAGATCAATCTCAGCTATGATTTTTCAGAGATGAATTGATTCACCCCTTAAGACCAATGACTCATGTGTCCTTCCTTCAAATTGTATGTTTTGATTGTGACATGAAACCTGGCTCTGTGTGTGTGTGTGTATGTATGTATGTGTGTGAGACACACACACAAGGAGATATCTGATATGTAATTTTAGTGTGTGTATCTTGAGAGACTTATCAGGCTGAACAAATGTGGTTTTCTAAAAATACATTTGCATTAATTCTTTGAGAATTTCCCATATGCATACAATGTATTTTAATCACAATGCTCCTCCATGATTCCTCTCCTCTGGCAAATATTCTTAAGAGGTTTTTTCTATTCACATCAGTGCCAGCACATCCAATATTGCCAGGATAGAAGAAATGGAGAGACTCTTGAAACAGGCTCATGCGGAAAAGACCCGGCTGCTTGAATCCAGGGTAAGGCAGAGCTCCTGCCAGGAGCTTGTGATGGGCATGGGGCGAGGAGCCCTACACTTGCCAGCAGCATTCCTTCAAGGCCATGACTGAGCACTGTGAACTTGGGTAGCCACTCAGCCTCCTTTCCTTTCCAAATGGAAAGGTACAAGAGAGATGGCTTCAGGGCCCTTTGCTGTGCTTTTATGCCCAGGAACTTCACGCGTGTGTCTGTGTTTTCGCAGAGAACGAAAATGACAATGGATGTTTCCCCCTTGGTGGCCATGTAGATGTTTTCTTGAGAAAATTGGAAAAATGACATTTCTTTATGTGTCCTCTTGTCCTTCCCAACTCATGCTGACCTCACGTTATTGTGAGTTTATTTCAGGCCAGAATCAGAACTTCCTTAGGAATCCCACCCCCACCCCCAACGCCTTTGCATCCTGCCCCGAGGGCACCTCCTTTCCTTTTCCACTTCCTACAAAGCTTCCTCTGTGACCTCCAGCCAGGAAGCTACAGAGCAATAACAGGAATTGGAAGGGCCTGTGGCCTTCACCCAGGACAGTCTCCCAGAAAAAAAGCCTAAACTGCATGACTAATATGGCATGACAGTTTGCAAGGAAGAACAAAATGCCTGCCTGTACTTACAAGCCCAATTTTCACTGAAGACTAGTATTTAATTGTTGGCATAGGTGACTTTGGGAGCTATGCAGAAGGTGATCGTGATTTATGTTAGTCCAGGCTATATACTTTAAGAAACTAGGATACAACATGAAAACTGTCTAATGATAATTGGAGTTTGAGTATTTATTAGCTGGTCCCTTCAAGTGTAGGTGTCATTTCTGCAAGTAATTCTATATATGATAATTAGGAACGGGAAATGGAAGCCAAAAAACGAGCGCTGGAAGAAGAAAAACGACGCCGGGAAATCCTGGAAAAACGACTGCAAGAAGAAACCAGCCAGAGGCAGAAGTTAATAGAAAAAGAAGTGAAAATAAGAGAAAAACAAAGGGCACAGGTTGGTCAGTCAATGTGGATATATACGTGCAGGTTGCCCCCTGGTGGTCATTTTGTAGAAGACATTCATTTTGTCTGAATACCTAGTGCTTAAGGTGTACGTGGGTTAGTATGCAGGCTGTGTTCATTTTAGAACTTTTAGAGAACTGCCAAGCAACTGACACTTTTCTCTACTCACATGTGACTCACATGTTTTATTCTCTTGTTCAGAGAGAGAGAGAGACTTCCATCTATTCTCTGGGTGCATTTCAAAGGAGAATATGTTTTGTACTGCTTTGAATATTGCTATTGGAGTAGTTTTTTAAAACACACACAGGGGACCAGAGAGATGTCCCGGCAGTTAAGAGGACTTCTTTATCTTCCAGAGTACTGGAGTTCTGCTCTCAGCCAGCGCTCATGTTCGACAGCTCACAAACTGCCTGTTCCTATAACTTCAGCTCCACGGGGCCCAATACCCAATGGACTCTTCTGGAACAGTACTCAAGTGTATATTTACACACACACAAAATTAAAGGTTAAAAAATCAAATTAAAAATGTTAAAAAAACATATATATGTATAAATAGGTGATAGCTTGGAATATATATACATATATGTTTGTACATAGCTTATACTACTATGTATACATATATACACATATATATGTATATTATCATGCAAACTACAAACTGTGATGGAGGAAAGATTCTATCAGGCAATCTCTAGAAGCAAACTTTCCAAAACAGGATAAACTTAAATTGTACCAGGTCAATTTCCTAGTGTGGTAGTAGTATCCCCCCCACTTTTTTCTCTAACTACATATGTCCTCTTTCCTACACCAATCTATAATACTGCTCCTTCAGTTAACAAACAGCCAAATTTAGGAAAAATATCCATTTGGTTTAGCTCTCTTTCTGGGTCAGTGCAGATTTAAATCCCTGCTCTTTTCACTCTAGCCGCTTCATTATATATATATTTCCTGAGGATAAAGAAAAAAATACTGCAGCCTGTAAAGCTCACATTCGTTTCATCAAAGTTGGTCATTCCTCCAGTAGACTCAAAGGCATTATTTCCCTCATCAACTCCGGATGCTGCCCATTTGGTCCTACAGCGCCTGGCTGCTGTCTTTAAAATTTTATGTGGACTGGGACTTTGGCAAGCCTGTGGCAGCTGCCTTACAGGGAAGGTAAAACACTGAGGAAAAGTGGAAACTGAAATGGATCCTTTCATTGGACCATACTCTGACCTCTGCTAAACTCTGATGGTCATCACAAAGACAGAGAAGGTCACCCATGCCTGGAATTCTGAAGTCAAACCAAAGGGCAGAATTCTATTTTAAACTTGATTATAAGCTTTTCCTCCAACTATACGATTAGATCATTTCCCCAGGGCAAAAGCATGGAATTATTTAGCAGAATTTGAGAGAGAGAGAGAGAGAGAGAGAGAGAGAGAGAGAGAGAGAGAGAGAGGAGAGAGAGAGGAGAGAACATTAGGAAGCAGCATCCATGGTGATCTGTGCTTCCTGGATGATGTGAACCTCGGCCCTCATCATTAGGAAGACAAGACATCTGTGTACGTTCCCTGGGGCCTCTGCTCCCATACAGCTTCCCACTTAGCTCCAGGATCGATTCTACCCTCAGTTTATTTTAACATCTCTTTTCAAAGAATATACCTTAACTCCGTGGGATCTTCTGGGGGTCATGGCTCCCATACAGTGTCTGTTCGATCAGACCGTGTGTGGATGACCTTAGAACTGCATTGTGTTGTGGTGAGGGAAGGAGCAGCTGGATGGCAGCACGGCTCACTCCCTACACGGCCTCCGGGCTGACTTCTCTGATGTTCCACTGGTGAGGTCTTTTCATCCTCTCTTCTGCCCCTCTCAAGGAATAGAATCAACAGGCCTGCTTTCAGGCACCCCTTCTCTAATGGAGTACCCTGATTAAATGTCTGCTGCTTAGGCTGCAGTGACAAGTGCTTTGTTTACCTTGGGTCCTTGTGAATTACTTGGCATCTTAAGGCTTTGGCTCTACCTGTCCTTCTCACATCTAACACGTGATCTGAAATGAAACAGTTCTCTGTAGCAGAAACGGGTTTTGCTCTTTTCCAGGCTCGTCCTCTGACTCGCTATCTGCCTGTCCGGAAGGAAGACTTCGATTTGCGGAGTCATGTGGAGACAGCGGGCCACAATATTGACACCTGTTTTCATGTGTCAATCACAGAGAAGACCTGCCGAGGATACCTCATCAAAATGGGTGGAAAAATTAAAACGTGGAAGAAACGCTGGTTTGTTTTTGACCGGAATAAGCGGACATTTTCTTATTATGCAGGTGAGTGATAAAACAAATTGAAGCAATGCATTCAAATCTACTAAAAATAAAAGGAAATAGAAATTCATCATCTGAACCAGAAAATTTTCGAGGCTGAGACAGTAGGATCCATTTGAACCCATGAATGTGAGACTAACCTAGGCAATGTGGTGAGACCCTGTCTCAAAAAGAAAAGAAACATAAAAAGAGAGAGGAAAGAAAGAAAGAAAGAAAGGAAGGAAGGAAGGAAGGAAGGAAGGAAGGAAGGAAGGAAGGAAGGAAGGCTGATATATAGAATAATTAATGGCAATGATAGCTTGGTAGGCATACATATATTTTGTATCCATATTTATACAGTTAAATATGTTATGAATTTCATTTTTTACAAATAGAAATCATGTGACTTTAAAAATGTGAATCAATCTATTCTATATATGAAATAACAGCCCAAATACATATTAAATGGAATGTATATTTACATTAAATTATTGCCCTGTAAACCACGAGGCCAGAGAAAATACCCCATTAGTATGTATTTACTTTTCGCCATATGTCCTATTTAGATTACACAGAGCCAAGCAGCCCTCGTTGCCAGTCGTTGAGCTGTGCTTTGTAAGGTACTCGGACCTCTCAAGTATAGAGAGTAGAGCTCATCAGCAAACTAGGAAATAAGAACGCATTCATTAAGTGTGGAAAGCAGTTTGAGAGTCTTACATGCTTAACCATGGGAAGCATACTCTACCGAATCTTATGAAAACATAACTGGTTAAAAAGAGTCTGTGGTGAGGCACAGTCGTACATAACTGCAGTCTCATCATTCAACGGATAAAAACAGAATGGTGAGTCTGAAGCCAGCCTGGGCTACATAGCGAGAAACCCTATGTACAAGCAACAAAATAAACGAGGTAGCATCTAATTTACTCGTGCACTGAATGCGAAACATGCCCGTTACAGACATTAGCATAGTCTAAGTCTCTTCAGCTGCTAAGAAGGGGTGGTGTACCACCCCGGTTCCCATATTTCGAGGTCACTGGTTAGGAGAGCATAGTCAGAATCACAATTTGCACTGGGCATGGGATGAGAAGCCAGAACCAGTGGATAAAAGGAAATATTGCCCAAGGAGTCCCAGGCCTGCGTTGAAGAAGCAGCCTGAGACCCACACCTTTCAGTGAGGGGCTCCAGTTAACTCTGAAGTTGCTGGTTAGAGCTAATGGCCTGGCCCTCATAGGAGCCTGCTTTTTATCCAGAGTTTCATAAAGGCCGGCAGTAGCAACCTCAGTGCAAATAGGAAAGATACCTGCTTCATAAGAAATCCAATGTAGCATCCATCAACACATAGGCATGGTTGTGTGGCAAGCTAGTATTTATAGACAGCCTCACTCGGAATGTTCCAACAGACAAGATTCAAAGGCCTTCGAAGAGATAGCATTTTCATTACCCCATGTTTTTCTGGTCTGTGAGCCTGTTTCCAGTTTTGTGTACATCAGTCAGGTGTGTGGTTCAGGGACCCTACTAACCTCCCTCTCTCTAACCCATGCAAGACCTGTTTCTATTGAAACTCTGGATAGTTGATTTTTCTGTTTTATTTTAAGTAGCAAGTTTCTGGCATATTCAAAGCCCTAGTACCCAAACTGAAAAGGAATAGATTCCTCCAGCTCTTTTGCATTCACATCGGAAGTGACTGAGCAGTGGAACAGCCTTGGGTCGATGCTGCCTTGGCCCTGTTCACTGCTGTCAATCATTAGCTGTGTGTGCTCTACATGGCCCAGCCCCCATCCCTTTTCCAAACACCCTCAAGCATAGGCAAAGATCCATCTCTAACCACCCCCAAAGATGCAGCTCAGGCTAGCCTTGACCCTACGAAAGCCACACCCCCTTGGCTTCTCATCAAGGTAAATGGCCTCACTACAGGCAAACACGAGTGCTGAAAACCTTTAAAGAACACTGGGACTCTGTCATGCATGACCTTGCCCTTTGTACTCAGCTCTTCCAGAAAGCCTCTAGAGAACACAGGCCTAGGAAGAGGTCTGTAAGCTGTTGAGGGAGATAGTGAATTGAAGTATCTCACCCACATCCATGCTGATCCCTCAGTTCACAGTGGAGTGAGAAGTTCATGTTTTTTCAGAGTGCATTCTCCCTGACGAGATGGCCTGAAAACAAAACGTCATTCCCCAGTTTTCTGCCTACTGGAAACACTGGCATTTTACTTTTGTCTCCAGATTTTAATCTTACATGTGTTAGGAGCAAACAAGGTGTTACTGTATTCCCTCGAATTAACTGTAGGATCTTTTCCAAGAAATGTTTGAAAGCTGCGCTGACCTTCTCTCTCAACTGACTCTGGCTGGAATCCACCGAGCATGGTATTAATTAAAACAATATTTTCCAATGAAGAGCCAAAGCAAACATACGCAACTATGGCCCCTGGTCAGTTATGTTAGGGAAGACTGGGTTAAATGTGGTCTGGGCCGGTGTTTATGAGCCAGCTCTGTATTATTAGTGGAGAAAAGGAGGCGTTTACTCAGTAAAAATACTAACATTCAATGAAGCCTGCATATGAAAAGTCTCTTTCTTGCCATGTGTTCCGGTCTCCCACTGGTAAACCTAAAATAGATTCTATACATTGTGTACACATATACACAACACACCTATGCACACATGCACACATACAATTTGATTTTCTTACTATGCTAAAGCTTATGGCCATGGACTGTTAGAGAAAGCTAAGTCTGAGTTACTTTCCTAACTGCTTTTACACAGTTTGAGTCCAGAGTTATCCAGACTGCTCATGTCACAGCATGGAAGATTTTTTCCTTGTGATTGTGTGCAGGTACTGCCATTGTTTCAACAGCTAAGGTGACCCGCTGTGTGGCTAGCCAGTCATTCATATGTCTCTTGTTCAGACTCAAGCAGGACTCCTGTGTCAGTCAACACAGACCCAGAGCAGCCGCTGCTTGTGACTTCATTGCTTAAATAAATAAATAAAGTTTCAAAGTAAAACTCGAGAAGAGGGTCTGTGCATCTTTAGCTGGGTTGTTTTCCTGGTTGCTCTCTAATGGGAGTGGTCTCTCCCATGTTTCTCCCAACAACTGCTGGCAGCCGCTTCCCTTCTCCTCATACCTACACCCTCAGAAGATGGTCATTTAATAGGACACAGAGAGGTGGTGATTGACTGGTTGGTTGTTTCAGTGGCTATTTTGTTTTGTTCTTTAATCTCAGTGCTCAGCAGGGAGAGAGAGGCAGGCCTGTAAGCTTGAGGCTAGCCTAGTCTACATAGTGAGTTCTAGGGCAGCCTTAGCTATGTAGAGAGACACTACCTCAAAATAATTAAACAAATAAATCAATGGCCAAATGCATTTAAAATAAAGAAAACATTAACCCTATTCTTGGACAGTTTCACACATGTGTAAGATGAATTGCTATCAGTCACTCCTTTATTCACCCTGTCTTGTTCTCTACTGATCTCCTTCCCACATTCATGGCTTTTTATTTTGTGACACACTGAGTTTAACCAGAGCCATCTATTCACACAGATGTTTGGGGCTGTCCACTGGAGCCTGGTGGGCTCACCTAGGTTATCTGAATTAATCTAAGATAATTTATTGTTAGATAAATATTTTAATGAGGATAATTAATCACGAGCCTGATGTTTTTCCTGTTCATCGGTGGCACTAAAGTACTTCACACTCATATATCTTTGCAGACAAGCATGAGGCTAAATTAAAGGGAGTGATATACTTTCAAGCCATCGAAGAAGTGTATTATGATCACCTCAAGAATGCTAATAAGGTAAGTATCAATTTCCTCAGTTTCTGCAACTTTTTCCCCTGAGCCCTTTGTACTCCAGGCAACTGCTTTATCCTCAGCCCCTTTTCATGTTCTGTTTTTGAGACAGGGTCTCACTGTCATAAGCCACACATTGGGGTGACATCTGTTGGGGTTCAGCCTCCACAAAATTTGCACATTCCAGGGTAGAGCAAGAGGATTAGAATCATTAAGCAAAAGGAACAGAGATATGAGAGAAATAAGAGACAGAAACACAGAACAGCACTGGAAGGGAAAGTCAGTGAATACTGAACCTGCCCACGTTTGTTTTCCACACGCTTATATACTCCACTCTAAAATAGGAAGAGGAGGCAACAGACTCCCATAACATGATATAAGCAATAGACCAAGTATCCTTCCTGCAGGCAGCCAGTCCCTGGAACCTTCTGCCAATCTCCTCTGAAGGAGCAGGAACAGCAAGGTGGAGTGGATCCACCTCTATACTCAAAATACTAGTTAACCACACACTGGGTTAGGAAATCGTTTGTAGCCATACCTGTTGTCAACAACTTTGAGAGAGCAAGAATAAGTTCAGACTCTGTGACTTTAGTCAAAGAGGAATAGGCTCACATCTGTGGGCCCCCATAGTCTCACTCTGTTGCCTGGACTTGCTTTGAACTTGCAATGCCCCTACTTCAGCCAGCCTCCTGAGTAGGTGGTGTTATGAGCATCTGCAACTAATACTTGATAATTTCTGTAATTTGAATATGTAATCGAGGTAGGTTATTTGGGGATTTTAAATGATTTAGAGGTTGTGGTCTCACATGATGGACAAAATGTTCAGAGCACTGCTGCAAGTTAAAATTGAAAATACACTGGGTAAATGGTTGATGTTTAGGGATAAAGTCACGAGGACATAAGGAAAGTGCTGGATGTAACGGTCTGGGAGACACTCATAAGCTGCTATGCAAGCATTTTTGGAGGGAACTATTCTATATATAATATATATGAAGGCAAATCATAACGTATCAGGACCTTTTAAAGGTCAGGAATAACCCTTATTATTCTCCCATCAGCTAGACACCATGCTTTACCAACTAGTTAGTGAATCTGTGAGCTCTGCATGAGAGTTCTTATAGAAAAGCCAGACAGATGGCCCATCCTGAGGAAGGTGCAAGGGGCCTCCGGAGGGGAAAGTTGTAGTGTAGCATACAATACCTTTATAAGTTTCTGTCAAGGGCAGCTTTGAAAGCATAAGAACGTTCACATGCCGTTGCTGATGCTCAACTTTCCAAATGTCTCTTTGACATTCTGTTCTTGTTTTAATTGCAGAGTCCGAACCCACTACTCACCTTTAGCGTGAAGACGCATGACAGAATCTATTACATGGTGGCTCCTTCCCCGGAGGCCATGCGGATCTGGATGGATGTCATAGTGACTGGAGCAGAAGGATACACGCACTTCCTGTTGTAATGAACTCCGGCAATGGCCCACTTTAGGGCAGACCGCAGTAGTCTCTCGCAAGAATGAAGCCATATCCCGTCTCAGATGGCAAGGCCCAACAGACGTCCCTTTAGCTGCGTGCACTCAGAACTCTTCATACTGGGAAGCCTTTTGTACAAAAGAAAGCAGGGCTCATAGTGACAGAACTGCAGCTCCCTTGACAAACCAAAACCAAAACACTATTTTCATAAGAGCATCACTTAGATGCGAATTTCTCATACACTCTTTTTATCAGTTGATGTTGGTTAAATACACTGAACGGTTTACACGATGTCTGTAAATATGTACTTAGAAATATACTATTTTAGCACCCAAATCATTAGCATTGGTAATCAGCTGCCTTCTTTGTAGGAAGTAGCATTTTTTAAAAAAATTAGCAAATAATAATTTAGAAGGCAACATATTTTAGACATTTTGCCTTAATTTTTAAATACTGCCCCCCAAACCAAAGACACGGCTTGCCTCCTGTTTAACATCAGTGTTACTCTCTCAATACTCTTTAAAATGGTATTGTGATGTCAGTTCTGGAGTGCCTCCCACCACAGAAGCTACTGCGCACTTATAGTAAACCAGGTTCTTAAAAAAACTTTTTAAAAAGGGAAAAAAAAGCTCCTTGTTTTTAGAAAAGGCCATCTTAGAAAACAGAAACCTGCAATATCTGGCAGTTGTAATTAAGGAGAATGCTTAGTGGGGGAAGCCTGTTCTGTTGAAGACTTGTTCATTCCTGGTGCTGAGAATAAAAGCAACCAGCAGCCACTTTCCTTTAGACTGCCCCCTTCCTCTTGCTCATGGGGCAGAGCTGTTAACTGCACCCTGACAAGGCATAACTATGAAGCCGTCTCTGGTTCGCTGAAAAACAGAACCATGCAAATATCTTTATTTTGAAGACAACCAAAATGCAAAGTAATGTTCTCTATGCTATATCTTTTTAGTTCTATCTCTACAGATAGCCTTGTTTCTAGAGCTATTTTTTTTTTATTTTAATGAAGTGACTTCGGGCAAGTCTCTTTTATAATCGTTCTCCAAGTGCCATTTATTTTAGTTGTTGTGTTTTGCGTTTGTAAGTATGAATGAACTCTTTCCGAATACATGCCGAATGGACAGAAGTAGAAAATAATGCCATTAACTTACTTGTACACGTGAAATGATTAGAAATGTCCACAAAACTTTGTCAGGCCTGACTGGGTACAATTTTTTTTTTTAAACTTACAGTGTACTTTTATACCTGTATACATGTTACCATTAACAAGATTTTGCAACTGGATGATGCCAGGTTTTACTTGAATAATGAGGGAGGAATATCATGACTGTAGGAGGTATATTTTCAGCTGGGATTTCTGCAGCAGTCCCCTTCAACTCTTGTGATCTAAAAACATTAAAATGCAGTTGCTAAGATCTGGTTGGCTGATGTAAAGACACAGCTTTTCTGTACTGTACTTTCCCCCATAGGCGGTAAGGGTATTCTAATCAGTTTGTATGTCTGAACCTTTTAGATATGTGTGCTAAATGTATTGAGTTTGGATTAAAGTGTTGACCTGATTTCACATTTGAAAGTAATCTCTCTCTCTCTCTCTCTCTCTCTCTCTCTCTCTCTCTCTCTCTCTCTCTCTCCCCTAACCTATCTGTAACATAGCAGAGGATGAACTAATCAGCAAAAGCTAGCAGTAGAATCTACATAACGGTAGATGTGCGCTGACATTGCTTACATTCCTATCACTGACAAAATGAGGTAAACGCTGAACATCTTACATGTCACGCTCATCCGTTTGTATTGATTAGCTATTGCTTCCCTAAAAGGTGCAATGCAAACATGAAGGAAAAGTCTGAGGCTTTTCCTCCTCAGGTGGGGACCTCTTCTGGGTGTCAGACAGAGAAGCTGCCTTCAAAAAAAAAAATGTCCTTTTACTTTTGTATGCTGATGAAAGAAACAATGACCAAGAAAAACCTTCACAACTGTTTGGCTTCAAGCTCACTACTGTCAGGGAAACTCTTTTGACAGTGCCATGAAACCACTTAGGTTTCTGATTTGTTTTGCTGGTAAGAGTGGATTGAGAAGGGAATCCATGGGTTCCCCCTTTTATGTGTATATACGATACTTCCTTCGTTAGGGTAAATCACAAGATTTTTCAAATTCTGCTACATATAAAGTACAAGGAGACACTCAAAAATAGAGTGCAAAAAGGGATGGGCTAACAATATCAAGGATAAGTTTGTGCTGTTAAGATACACAAATGAAAAAAAAAAAGATACACAAATGAGGTAGAATTCATTGGATAAAATTACCTTTCTGACTCAGTTCTTTGGCATCTCTATCCATCCTGGTCCTATATACGAACTGGCAAAGTGGGTCTGTGAAAACTCCCATTTCGACCCTGGCCATGGATCATACGAATGACTTGAGAGACACTGACCTGCAAACAGTTTTGTTGACACCGAGCTGTCTGTCAGGAGGAAGCAGAAGAGCTTTCATTCCGATACCGTGGGATTTGTGGGAGTCTCATTTTAGCATATCCTGGTGGGCACCTGGCTACTTCATGCAACAATGAGCTCTCTTGATGTTTCAGTGCTGTTCGCAGTGGTGAGGAGTCCCTATAACCTCAAAAGGGAAACATACAGCTATGCTCTGTTCCTCAATGTCTTCTCATGTTTCCAGGCAAAGATGACTTTAATCAGATAATGTAGGAATGGGGCATAGGTAAGTGAAGCAAAACCAAAATGATTTTTTAAAAAAAGATCTATTTTGTCTTTCTTTATTAAGCTTCTCCCGTGTGTTCTAACAGATCATGTTCTCAAGACTCCAAAGACATGCCTGGCTTTAACTCTGGTACCAATAACTGCTCCCAGATCTCTAAAGGGATAGAGTCCAAGTTTGTTTCTGTCGTTGTGACAAATGGCATGACCAAAGCCAACTTAAAGGAGAAAAGAGTTTATTTAGCTTACAGGGCACTGAGGAAAGCCAAGGCAGGGAATCATGGCAGAGGCTTGAAGCAGCGACCAAGGAGGAATATTGCTTACCACTTTGCTCCTAGTCTCACATTCAGCTGTCTTTCTTAAAACAGCACGGACACACCACCAGGGGGCGTACCGCCCACAGTGGGCTAGGCCCTCTTACATCAGTCAGCAATTAAGAAAGGGCCGGACAGACTGAGTACAGGCCAATCTGATGGACATGGGCATTTGTCAGTTAAGGTTCCTTCTTCCTAGATGCTCGAAGCTGACAAAAACTAACCAGGACAAACAGTGACATGGTTTTACCTGAAGTATTGCACTAGGGACAATAATTTCAACCAGAATACACAAGATAAGGCATATACAGTGATACTTGACCCCTCCCATATTATTTTGAAGGATGTCAGATTCCAGAGATCCTAGTATAACAGTTTGTTCAATTACAGCCATTGATTGCTCCCTGCCTTGTTTTTCATCTTAAAAATAAAATAAAATGGTGCTGTCTAAGGTAAACACGACCTTAGGAACCCGTGTTCTTTTTATTTAGGTCAGTCAGAAGCGCTGGGTGGTAGTTCAAAGAGTACCCGGAATTATGCGCGTTGTAACAAACATGACCGGATTGTCCGACAAAAGGCTAGTTGCCACTCACTCACCTAGCAGCCCTGTGTCTCCAGTATCTTTGCTTGGCAATCTGCTGAGTAAATGTTTGTTTGGGGGAGAGCAATGAAGGCCCAATGCTACTCCAATGATGTGAATTTCAGATTAAGGTCGCCTCTTGGAAACCTTGCCCGCGCAGGCTGAAACGCAGCCTTTGGGGACTGGTAATGCAAGAAGCCTAGCAATTCTTGTCACGGGTCTTTGGGTCCTCGGGATGATAACGTGATTTCCCTTCTATGAACGATCAATTCGGCCCTGGCTCCTCGCCGAGATTTCCCCGCAGCTCACTGTGAAGAAAGCCGGCCAAGGCCGCCCCAATGTCACAAGCCAGACGCCCTTTGGGGAGATAAATAGACCAAGAGAAGGTGGCCCGGCAGACACCCCCGTGCGCCCGCGGCTCCGCTCCAGACGCAAATCCCGCGCGACGCAGCGTAACCCCCCCCCCCCCCACACACACACACACACTTCCTGCGGACTGCGCGTGTGTGACCTCGGGTCCCCGCGACCCGCGCGGGCCTGTGGCGGGCGCAGGGGCGGCTGGGAAGATGGCGGCCTGGGTACCCTGTCGGAGGTGGGTGTGGGCGGCAGTGTCCTTCGGCCGTCCCCGAGGCCCGTTCGCTTCGCTAGCTCGAAAGCCCCCACGGGCATGGTGGCTACCAGGTTAGTGTACGGGAAGGAAGGCGTGGCTCGGGCTCGCCCGGCATTGGTCCGGTGCCCACCCGCCGGAGAGGGGCTTGGCGCTGCATTCAAAACTTCTGTGTGGCTCTCTGGGCACCCTGAGCACTTCTGGGGAGGGCTGGCAGAGGCGGCTTTCTGCTGGGGCCCAGGGCCGTTCTTGGAGGTCCTAGAGTGCGATTTACACAGCGATTTAAGGAGCGTTTGAGTTCTCTGAATCAAACGCCAAGACCAGAAAAGAATAAATTGAGATATGCATGTGATGTATTTGGTTATTACCTGCCTCTAGAGCTTTCCATACCGTTGTTTTGTTAAATGCTTAGCCCTGCCCATGGTTGACTTGAGGAAACATACAGAATGAGGCATGTTCTTTGTATGTGTAGATGCCATCTTTGGACCTAATATCTGATTTTTCTTCTCAAGAGAACTGTAATTGCTTTACAATGGAAACCAAAATTTGGATTAATATTACATACACACAATATATGATTTATATATTAATATATTATATTTAATATGTTTTATATATGAGCAATATATAATATAAACACATATATACATATTGTTATCCTTGAATGATATCATGGTGTGCTTTTTCGCTCCTTCCTTGCCACACAGCTGTCGACAGATGCATAGTATTTGGAATAGTAATGTCATTATATAAAGTAACATGATTTTAACGTATGTAACCAGTTTTAACTTTCACCGCACACCAAAAACAAAGTAAGTATTATGTAATGTCTGTAAACTATGGTATGCCAGTTCGTTAGCAAGAGTAAACTTTCGTTATCTCTTCAGCAGGGTTTGTTGACCATATATACACGGCAGGCTTTCAGCTGATCCATATTATATTTATAAAGATGGCTTATAGATTGAATGTTGCGTTGTTTGCTCACAAACATAAATTCAGTGGTCACTGCCTAGGATGCAGTTCATGTGTTCGGAAATAATGTGTGGAAGGAGATAAAAGGATTATTTGAGTGTTTAGTTAAGGAAATGGGAAGTGAACATTGCTGCTGATACAGACTGTTGACCAACACAGACCTATCCCCAGTAGCTCTGTTTTTCACCAGGTTTTAACTCAGCTCATTTTCCCATGCTCTGAACCTTTGAACCTGGCTGACAGGTAAAGGCGATAGCTTAAAGCTTTTCATTGGTTCTTGTGTGCTTGGGGAGTGTGTGTGGTTTGCTGGTGTTTGTGACACACGGTTTCACTGTAGAATCTCTGTGTGCAGTGTGATAATAATCTCACTGTGCAGGAAAGGGTGACCTGGAGCTCTTGGCCATCACATCCTGCCTGTGACTCGTGAGTGCTTACTGTCACTCTAGCCTCTCTAATAACTGACAAAACACAAACTGGACAAATTGAAAATGGGAAAAATTTTAGCAGTACACATGAGAGAGATCAACCACAAGTCATTTAATGGTTTTTTTTTGTTTGTTTGTTTTGTTTTTAAATGAGGGCTAACAAGGATAGCTCTGCAAGTAAACGCACTTGCCACCAAGACTGGCACCTGGACCTACAAGGTGGAGGGAGAGCCCATGTCCTGAGTTCCTCATATATGCTTAGTATGTGTATATGACACTAAATAAGTAACTTTAAAAAAAAACTTTTAAAAATAAAATAAAAGATTTATTGGTTGGGAAAATGACTATTCAGAAATATTCAAGCCTGCCTTTGGAAGGAAGAAAGTATGATTTTTTTTAAGTGTTTATATGGCTTTGATTTTTTTAATGTTGATTTTTTATTGGGGAAATTAAAACAATGAACTGGAGTAGCCCTGTAAGATTCACATTTTTCCTGTTATATTTAAATAACCCTTTGTGTATCACCTACAGAAAAAACAGCCAACAAAAGTAAACACAGCGATTACAGAGTTGTATGAGAAGAATTTTTCCCAGAGTGCTGCTTGATCCAGTATTATCTTTAAAGGAACAACCTTTTGAAACTCCATTTGGTAGGAAGTTGCGGTGGCTTCTTCCCTGTTTCCTGGCATTCCTGGGGAGAATTGCTCAGGGCTTCCGCCATCTTGCTTCCTTGCTAAGTGCTTTCCCAACTCAGGAGTATTTTACATCTGCTTCCCATATCTCGGCATTGTGGGTGCCTGCAGTTTTGCCAGTTCATCTTTGAAATAATTCTGTAAAGGCAAAGGAAAGGGAAAGACAGAACACACATGCGCTTCTTTTCCCCCACTTATATGACCAAAAGTAGAAAATGTAAAATTCCTGAAACATTGTTAAAACAAAACAGAAAAAACCCTTCAGGGAGAGGCTAAGTGGTGTATTTAAATCTAAATGTTAAATGCTACTGTCCAGAATAATCACGTGGTGCCAACATGAAGATTATTTTTTTGTTGAGCCCGTCTTTTGTTTCACTGAACTTTCTGCCTCATTGTGTACTTTGGAAAAGTATGATTGGTCCTTGCTCTAAAAAAAATAAATTTTGATGAAACTTTAAAACTAAGTATCTCGTGCTCGAAGCCTATTTTGATTTTTCTATCAAATGCAATGAGTTAAAGTTAAGATTTGAAAATGTGATTTTCCAAAATTAATTTTCAAACTATAATTCATGCTTTGTGTACTTTGTTTAGCTTTCAGACAAAAGGTATCACTCTCTTTCCTTAACCGACCAGACCTTCCAAGCCTGGCTTATAAGAAGCTAAAAGGCAAAACCCCAGGAATTATCTTCATCCCGGGCTATCTTTCTGATATGAATGGTAAAAAGGCACTGGCAATTGAGGAGTTTTGCAAATCTCTAGGTCACGCCTGTATAAGGTAGGAACAATACATATCAGAGAATATATTACCATTTAGCGTTATAATAGAGCCAACTCAAGTAAATGCCAGCATTTTAGTAGATGAATTTATTTCAGTAGTATACAGACTTTCATCTTGTTTAGGATCTTTAAGGTTTTTGTGCCATGCTGGCTAGATAAGGGAACTACCAACTAAGTTCTAAACATACAGTAATCTGTGTGGCAAAAACATATATGCTCATTGGGTTTCTTGTTATCGCTTGTGTTGATGGATTTTCTACTAAAGACATAGAATTTATTTGATCACTGTTTTATTACTTTCTAAAATAGATATTTAGGACTGAGAGTATATAGCTCAGCGTTAGAGCTCGTGTTTAGCACAAAATCCTGAATTCAATCCGTAGCACAACTCACACACAAAAAAGTATTTTTAAAAGTAATATAACATTGTAAGATTAATATTGTGTAATTTACATTTCTGTTTTCTTTTACTTACATTATCTAAATGAATGTGAGCATAAACAAGGTTTATGTTTAGTTAAAACTTAATTTCATAGTTGTTTCTTCCTTTTCACTCAGATATCTTAATAAAAATGTATTCACATAACAAAATTTGTTAGGTTTATCAAATTTTTTGATATTTTAATTTTAAGAAGGGAATATAGTTTAATGGGGAAAACATTGACATAGAATTGAAGAAATAAGGATTGAGGGCAGAATTCTTTCAGTAACTGATGAAACAAATCAGTAACACCCAGTAGACACATGTTTGTTATCCAATAAGAGAAAGCTGGACCAAAGATAATTTCTGAGTTTTTTTCCTAGTGCTCACATCCTAAAAATCTATTCATTTAAATGTTTAAAAACATCTCATTAATATTTGTTCAGTAATTCTAGAAAATACAGCTCCATATAAAACTTTTTTTTAAACAAAGGGTTTATTTATTTATTTATTTATTTATTTATT